ACGGACAGACGGACAACGGTATGCCATAATACATCTCGTAAACGAGCGTATAATAAAATTACACTAGTATGAAAACTTACCAAGTTTATATATAATTACAAACATCATAATCCATAATGTACCAGGAGTGTTATAAATTTGCTGAAATGTTGATTTTATACCAGGCAGTAATTTTCTTTCCATGGAACCATGTTCTTTTTCCCCTTCATCCATTTCTGATTTTAATTGTTGTGGTGGATGGACAAAAATTTGAACAAATATTAAAGAAAATACATAAACTAATGCTAAACATATAAACAGTACGGTCCATTCCACATAGTCACTAAGCCATGACAACACTCCTCCTCCAAAAATAGCTCCAAATTTATATCCTACAACCTGAGCTATGTTTCCATAGGCTAACTCGGAGGAAGTTAAAACTTGAATAGCTATTCCATCAACTGCTATGTCCTGTGTTGAAGTAATCAGATTGAACAAAAACATGACAACACCAAGTTCTACAATATGATCTGGTGATGTGAATGAGCCTAGGAAACATGTAAAAATAAGGCCAACCATACTCCAAGTCAGCCATAACTTCTTGGTACCATAGGTGTCAACAAACGGAGCCCACAATGCTTTACACATCCATGGAATCAATAGAAGTTTAAACATACTGATATCTGTAAGTGACATGCCATGTGTTCTGAAGTAGATTGGTAAAAACCGTGACTGTAATCCATACGGTAATCCTTGTATGAAATATAGGAAAGCAAGAAACAATAAACTCTTCATGTTGTCAAGATTTTTGTATCGTCCACAGATCTATAACATGTATAACATGGCAAAGTTTTATAATAAGAAATTACAAATACTCCTATCGTTGTTTTTCAGTCATCTGTGCAGACCTAAAACAAAAATTACAGTAAGTGTCTTAAATTCTTGTGAATTTTAGAGTTTTACCCAGGAATCTTGAGTATTCTATTTAAGGTAATGATTAAAATGACCTTTATGTCCACTACTTCCATATAAATTAGCTTCTTTTCTTGAATGATTATCATGTTAGAAATTGATCGATCTGTTCAGGACACATATATTTTTCTATGAAATTTATTTCACTTTTCTATACCACCAAAAACATTTAAGGGGATCAGATATATTCAGGGGAGATAACAGATAATGCAATAATGAATGTGACCATGTACCATTGAAATCTGTTTTATTTTTACTTCTTAATATTGAAATCTAATCACAGGAATAAATTATTTAAAAAAAAAAACATTGTGTAAAATGGCTCATCGAATGAGTTACAGTAGTATAGAAATGTTACTTTGTTTTCAATAGAAAAAAATGGCAAATATTTGTATCTAAATTGTCAGGGTAATTGCTTACATTTGCATTAATTTGATTTAAAATTTTGTGGGAGATTTCAATTAACTTTTCATATCTTAAATTAGTCAGTGGATTTCCTATATAACATGTATAATATGCAGTGATAAACAGAGGCAAATATACATCCAATTCTGCGTAATGCATGAAAATATGTGATGAGATATGCATTTGTTTTTTTTTTATTTACTTCTAATTCTGAACCATTAATAAATTTCAGAAAGACATCCAGATGCATTGATGACATAACATAATAGAATTTTAAACATTTATGTACATATAATAAATTAAAATTATAAATAATATGTAAAAATGCTGTAAATTGGTTTATTTTTCCCAATGCTTTAATTAAGAGAAACCTGTTAAGTTTTTTGTTGTTTTAGATTATGATCTCCCATATTATCAAATTTTGTTATTTGCCAAATTAGCAATTATATAAACCCCTGGCAAAAAAATATTTTCACTTGGGAAAAACTATTCATTGCTATTGACACAAATTTTATCTTAATGTTTATATCAAATGGATATCAAGGGGCATTTTTATCTTTAGAAGCTAACCAAACTTCAAAAAGTTGGCCAAAGGACTTTAACATGTACTTGAAGGAGTACTGTAATAATACTGTTAGCTTGCATAGGTTTGTTTACATTTAACAGGATACACAAAGTTTTAACCATGGGAGATAACTCAAATTTTATTGAGTGGGAAATTTAAATTAAAAAAAAATGTAACAATTTTATATTCATGTAAATTAACCTTATAAAGTTTCATATTCAGACAGGAGACATAACAGTGTGGACAAGAAAAATAATTATGTGACTAAAATCAAAACAAAAAAGTTACTTTTTATGTGAGACTACAGACTAAAAAGTTTGGGAGGCAATGAGATGGAATTGTTACTCTCTTCACACAAAACATTTTGACCATAAATTATATGGAAATGTTTATGATTATGACTTATGAATATTTATAATTGTGAGATTGTTGGTGAAAATAGTTATCAAAGGTACCAGGATTATAATTAAATACGCCAGACGCGCGTTTCGTCTACATAAGACTCATCAGTGACGCTCAGATCAAAATAGTTATAAAGCCAAACAAGTACAAAGTTGAAGAGCATTGAGGACCCAAAATTCCAAAAAGTTGTGCCAAATACGGCTAAGGTAATCTATTCCTGGGATAAGAAAATCCTTAGTTTTCCGAAAAATTCAAAGTTTTGTAACATGAAATTTATAAAAATGACCATATAATTGATATTCATATCAACACCGAAGTGCTGACTACAAATATCCTATAGTGTTTTTTCCATGGAAGTATCTTCAAAGTTCTCTCACTCAAGCATACTATATATTTCATAGAGACAAAACCTCAATGTGTGGTTTTAGATGGTTGTAGTGAGTGAATACAGATATAAGATATAATATAAGATTTTTAAGCAAAAATAAGCCAAGTTACTCAACTGAGAGGTGTCAATCATAGTATCCAAATTGTTTTAGAAAAATATTATACTATATATAAGAGATTTTTTTTTTAATTTAATCTTGTATGTTCCTGAGATAAAAACTTATAAACAAAAAGGAGAAGGTGGCATAATGGCTTTATTTGGCTTTAAAATTGAAGTACAAAATCATATGATTTTTGCATGAAAAAAATTGATAGGTTTGTGTAAATGTAAACTGTAAGGTCTTTCAAATAGAATGAACATTCATTTAGAAATTAAAAAAAATCTTCGAAAAAACTGCACAATTTTGACTTATTTATCAGTGGCAAATCTTGAACCCATGCAAGTACCAGATAAATATATTTACTTGAGAGTTTTTGTTCATATGGACAAACAGTGGTAAATTAATTAGTAGGTGCTTTCTATTGGTAGATCCAAAAAATTGACCAAAATCTATTTTTCTTCATCAAAGCCTGTAGAAAACATGTTTTTTTTATGACTTATAACATCATAACTGCATTTTGTGTGTCATGTGCATCCTTTGTTACTTATTTTTAGGTTTGTATTACCTCAACTTGACAATACACAAATAGTGAATGTAAATCTTAAATTAAAAGTTCAAAGGAGAAGGCCCAAGACCACAGTTATTTGGAAGTGCATTTCTTTTAGACAATAAATGAAAATTAAAAAAATCCCACCTGCACTTTCTCAATAGTATTTTTAGTGTGGTGTACTACTTTTGGGACAAATTATATCAAAATTATAGAAAACTTCATCAGCTCTAACACAAAATATGGACAATTTATGTTAAGGGGGTCTTGAATTCTTTTGACAGCTTCAGACATACTAATTTTTAACCTTTTTCAGCTGGACCAAATCACTATTTTACTTTAAAATTTATTAGTGTAATTTCATCCCCCTACTTGCTATTTGAGGCAAAAACATGAAGACATAAATTTGGAAGGGGTATGAAAAAAATTGCGACTAATACACTGTTCACAATAGGGACTATATTTGTAGACAACGAAAATCAAAAGACGATAACTGTGTTCTCGGACTAGAAGGTATGATGAGGTCTCTTTTTTGGCACCTTGAATTAGGAAATCAAAAAGTATCATAAATCTACAAATTAACATCCTTCAGGTGTTCATAAGTCTGTCAGACAACAATATTTATAATTTTGAATTTTTTCTTGCATATTTGCATTAACAGAGGTTCAAACTTCTTAAAATTAGTGACAAAATAGCCTATAACTTTGAGATCTTGCAATGAATATTTTGATATGAGCAACAGGTTTACCCAAAAACATATTTTGCTACAGATGTTAATGTGGGTAAAATACCTTTTTGGGTAAGGCTGTTGCCCACATCTATTTTGTCCCAAAACTATGTTTAAAATCATCAGTTTAAGTCAAATACATGTTTGTCAATTTCAAAATGTTTATGTCATCAAGTAACACAAGTGACTTTCTGCACTAAAGTATCCAGATTATATTACTTTTTATTTATCAATAAAACTAACATAATTTTGAAAGGCTTGAGTAATCTTACTATGTTTGCAGTTACAGGTGCCAAATAATCATACCTCCTCCTTTCATAGAAAAATAAGTCCACACCCTCTACTTATGATATTAAATGAAAAGATGACATTTGTGAAATATAATGGACACGTCATAAGCCACTATATATGTTCCATAACACAGTAATTACAAAAGTGAAAGTTATCTACATGTACATGTATTGGTATACATCACTTCAAATCACCATTCCTCATAATTTGGTCAAGTTTGAAGTAGAACAATCAGAGCATACTTGAATAAGGTGTTTTCTTGTAAAAAAATAGCTTATTTTTCTAAGATTGAAGTCCTGAAACACTGAAACAATTAAAAAATTAAGTATGCAGGTATGGATACCTTATACCTGCATACTTAATAATTTTGTAACGTTTATGTTGGTGCTTTTTATAGCTGAATATACGGTATGGATCTTGCTTATTGTTGAAGGCCATATAGTGTCCTATAATTGCTTAAATCCACATCATTTTGGACTCTGTTGGATAGTTGTCTAATTGGCAATCATACTACATCTCCTTATTTTACATTGAGTTACTGGGTGACATATTCATGCTGGACGGACAACAGTATACCATAAAAGTTTGTTATTGCAAGGGAATCACAAAAAGAAATCAATAGAATTTTTAGCTAACTGTAATTTTATTTTCTGTATCTTGAGCTTAATATAATGCACATCAATATTTGTACAACAAATAAAAAATACAACAACAAAAAATTATTCACAACAAAACAACAATATAATAAGCAGTAATAAAAACTAATTTTAAACTACATAACAAAGTAACTTTTCTCCTTGTTAGTTGTTTTTTTATAGCTGCCATTTACTAACTTGTAATCATATAAAGAACATTAAAACTGCATTTGTAGGAAAAACAGCGACAGTGGTTAAACATAGCAGAATCCAAATAATTAAAAATATTTTTTTCTGGTTGTTTAACAGAATTTATATTACCCACTAAATATTATTAACTTTCTATCAAATATTTTCACACTTTATGAGTTTATCACTAACTACAGGTAAAATATTTTGGAAAAACTTCCATATGGCACCACCTCACCCTACAAAATAAGTACTATAACACCATAAAATTTATCAAGGAAGGTGCCATTTGGAATTCTTTCCAATTTGTTTAAGCTGAAATGAAAGGACATAAAACAAAAAAACAAAAAATATGTGGATCCATAACTATTTATTTAATTTTTACAGATATGTAATTAAAGAATTCATTGAAAGGCATTTTTTATTTAGAAAAGGAGCACTTTTATCATTTGAAAATCATCAAAAAATAACAAATAATCACAGAATATGAGACAACTTAACATGGAATGCTGTTCCTCCTCTGTAGTACATGATAATATTGTGCATGATAAAACACCTTTGAGTTTCAATTATAATTAGACAAAAAACATTAATTATATTTCACAAACTTCAACTGAAACTTTATTATATAATCGTACAATTGTATTTGGATCCAATTTTGATGTTTATTATATATTCTGCCATGATTATACAGAAGCTGCATATTAATGACTTGTCAGATTTAAAATCTGTGAAAGTGAATATTTTGAAAACTTGAAATACAATGTACAATAAATTTAGCTAACTTTATCATACACTCCAATTGGGGGACTGATCCACTGAAAAATGAAATTGTGTTGGTAAAAACATCCCAATAATATCTAATTCATATAGCCAAAAACGAAAAAAAAAAAATGCCATTAAACAACTAAAATATTCCTTACGAAGAAAAATATAGTTATATCAGATGTGATGTAACTGTACAGCCAATCTTTTGCAAGCTTTGGTACATATAACAACTAAAAACAAGAATGTGTCCATAGTACACGGATGCCCCACTCGCACTATCATTTTCTATGTTCAGTGGAACGTGAAATTGGGGTCATAACTCTAATTTGGCATTAAAATTAGAAAGATCACATCATTGGAAACATGTGTACTAAGTTTCAAGTTGATTGGACTTCAACTTCATCAAAAAACTACCTTGACCAAAAACTTTAACCTGAAGCGGGACAGACGAACGGACGAATGGACAAGGGAACAAATGGACACACAGACCGAAAAAACATAATGCCCCTAGGTGGGGCATAAAAAAGCAACAAAAGTAACAAACTAAAAATAAAATTATGCAAATAATAGATTTTGTAAGCATGCAGTACATATATGAAAATAAATTCTTTTTCTATCATTCTACATAGGTACAAACTCCGAATACAATCCTTATAAAAATTAAACAATTACTGCCACTACCTTTTTTAATTGAAAATGACTTCATTTTTTTTCTGGTATGTCATCTATTGGTATCAAATTATGTTCACTGAATAAAAATGACATACAAATAAAATGTAAAAAAATCTTACAATATTCTATACAGAGATAAAGAGTTATAATTTGAGAAGTAAAATGTTAACCCCACCTTCGCCAATTAAAAAAATGTTGGATTTTCAACTAGATATATTACAGATTGAAATTGTAAATCTTTTGAATATCAGGATTTTCAATGAATAAGGGTTATCTAAGGTATCTACCATTGACACTATATTTTGGAATGACAACTTGAAAATTAAATGGTTTCTTCACAACTAATTCAAAACATAACAAACATTATACAAAATTATTCACTGATTGAACTAATGTAGCAAAACAAAAACAAATGTTTATGTACATTCCAACACAGATCCTCAAATAACCTTTTGTTTTTAGTACGAGTTGACTTACAAGTTGACCTATAGCTTACATCTGTCACATTCCATAGTATACAATTATACTATTTATATACACCAAGATTTCATCAAATGTAATTGGATATCCTGCATTTATCATACTTTTAAACTGAGTGTTACTGTGCGTATTGCTGTGTGTTTGTTTATTCTACATTGGCTAGAGGAATAGGGGATGGGTTGAGCTCTCACAAAACATGTTTAACCCTGCCGCATTTTATCGCCTGTCCAAAATCAGGAGCCTCTGGCCTTTGTTAGTCTTGTATGTTTTTTAATTTTAGTTCATTTATATGTTTTGGAGTTTAGTATGTCGTCCATTTTCACTGAACTAGTACACATTTTTGTTTAGGGGCCAGCTGAAGCCCGCCTCTGGGTACGTGATTTTCTCGCTGTGTTGAAGACCCACTGGTGGCCTTCGGCTGTTTTCTGCTCTTTGGTCAGGTTGTTGTCTCTTTGACACATTCCCCATTTCCATTCTCAATTTTATTGACCATAAAATAAGATCAAATTGCTAAAAGACCCCCTCTTTATTAATTGAAATCTATCATTTTGCATTTACCATAATATCTTTGTGTTAATTCATACACCCAATTGGCCTAACATCGTTACATGAGTGTATTTACAGTAATACATCTAGAAATAAGAATTACAATATGTACTTCACATCAAGGTAGTATCATAAATTACAGAAAACACTTATTGATTAATGATTGATTGCTAAGTGTACAGTAGAAAATATTACATGAAAAGAGAGAAACAATTAGGTAGTCTCCAAAGTGTGTTGGGGATGAAGGGCAGGAAACTTGATTGCCAATTGAAAATGAGAATTTGTTAGACAGAGGCAGAAATTGAAACATGCAACAGGCCACCTACAAAGTCCTCTTGGAGTTGTATCAAGAGTTCCTTAACATGCAAGAACGGTGGTACTCTACCTACACATAGTATCAGTCCCATATTCAAATGGAGGTGGCTACTTTATATATACGTAACAAGAGTGCACACGCTGAAATGTCTCGCCCACTATACTGACCATTGATTTTATGTTGATAGTCCTTAGATATAAGAAGATGTGGTATGAGTGCCAATGAGACAACTTTCCATCCAAGTCAAAATTTATAAAAGTAAACCATTATAGGTCAAAGTACGGTCTTCAACACAGATCTACATATAAAGTTTTACTACAAGTATCACATTTACATTTATGATCCAAGAAAATGAGGTAAAGGTGGAAGCAGGAATACATGTACACCTTTAATCAATCATTCCACAATCAGAATATAGATACCTATTGCTTATAGTATAAAAGAAACAAACCAAACCATGGAAATTCTATATTGACCAATGAACCATGAAAATGAAGTAAAGGTCAGATGAACCCTGCCAGACAGACATGTACACCTTAAAATCATTCCATGCAAAAATTATAGTTGACCTATTGCTTAAAGTTTAAGAAAAACAGACCAAAACATAAAAATTTAACATAAGCAATGAACCATGAAAATGAGGTCAAGGTCAAATAAAACCTGCTAGACTGACATGTACATCGTAAAATATTTCCATACACCAAATATAGTTGACCTATTGCATACAGTATTAGAAAAACAGACCAAAACACAAAAACTTAACATTGAGCAATGAACCATGAAAATGAGGTCAAGGTCAAATAAAACCTGCAAGTCTGACATGTACATCGTAAAATATTTCCATACACCAAATATAGTTGACCTATTGCATACAGTATTAGAAAAACAGACCAAAAAACAAAAACTTTACATTGAGCAATGAACTGTGAAAATGAGGTCAAGGTCAAATAAAACCTGCCAGACTGACATGTACATCGTAAAATATTTCCAAACACCAAATATAGTTGACCTTTTGCATACAGTATTAGAAAAACAGACCAAAACACAAAAACTTAACATTGAGCAATGAACCGTAAAAATGAGGTCAAGGTCAAATAAAACCTGCCAGACTGACATGTACATAGTAAAATATTTCCATACACCAAATATAGTTAACCTATTGCATACAGTTTTAGAAAAACAGACCAAAACACAAAAACTAAACTATTAGCACTGAACCATGAAAATGAAGTTTAAGGTCAGATGACACCTGCCAGTTGGACATGTACACCTTACAATCATTACACCAAATATAGTAGACCTATTGCTTATAGTACCTGAGATATGGACTTGACCACGAAAACTTAACCTTGTTCACTGATCCATGAAATGAGGTCGAGGTCAAGTGGAAACTGTCTGACAGGCATGAGGACCTTGCAAGGTACGCACATACCAAATATAGTTATCCTATTACTCATAATAAGAGAGAAATCAACATTACAAAAAATCTGATTTTTTTTTTCAAGTAGTCACTGAACCATGAAAATGAGGTCAAGGAAAATGGACATATGAATGACGGAAACTTCACATCATAAGGCATCTATATACAAAGTATGAAGCATCCAGGTCTTCTACCTTCTGAAATATTAAGCTTTAAGAAGTTAGTTAACACGCCGCCGCTGGATCACTATCCCTATATCGAGCTTTCTGCGACAAAAGTCGCAGGCTCCACAAAAATAGAAGCCCCCTTTAACATGGCTTTTTTAATGCCAGAGGGAAGAACATAAAGGTGACCATACTTCTATTCCCAGCAAGCCATTTGGCCTATTATCAACGGATATATTTTTGTGATTAAGAGTCATATTGCATTATTAAGAACTACAGCTAAAATTTTGACAGCATTATTAGTACACAGTATTTCCTAAAAATTGAATGAGTTGATATCTTATTTTTTTCTGTTAATAAACAATTGCAATGATTTTTGATTTGACATTAAATGAAAAATGTCTATCGTAGTCCATATTTAATAGTAACATCTTCCATGTGTTTGTGGCAGTATCAAGTAGGTTGTCTGGTGCTGAACACCCTATATTAAATGCTTCTACGTACATGTATCATGTTCTTTACTTCATAATTTAAGATTTTGTACTTGAATGACTTCATATGAAAAAAATTACTTTAAAAAAACTACAAGTACATATTTGAAAATGCCAATAGTTTCTTCAGATAAATAATGTACTGATTGACTATTGAATTATTTTAAATCTAACATGATTTATTGTATATCAGTACATTTATTTGTAATAGCCATATGTTTCAAATATCTTTAAATAAAATAGCAAACCTTCTTCAGTTTTACACTCATGTTGAAATTCTTAGTTGTGATCCAAACATGAAGTCATTAGTACTAGTAATCTGTATTATCTTGTGTTTGTCTCTCATTAGTGAAGTTTGTGGAAAAAGTAAGTGTTATTAATATTTTCTTCAAGTAGTAAAAAATAAATAAATTTGATACTTTTGCAAATGTGTATTTTGAAATTAAATTTACAATTAAAAAAAAGTACAAGTACTTCCATAACTAGATGTTTCTTTTTGGTAAACTGGTTTGCTTTTAAATAAAATTTATGAATTCTATTCTCAATAGAAATATTTATTTCTTTTGTGATATTCCATAATAAGGTTTAACTTTTGCTTGAAAACAATTCTATGGCCTAAATATGACAGCTACTGTCATTATTTTTTAAAAATATATCATGTTGCAAAAATAAAGCACATCACGGTCACTTTCATACAGACATATTAATTCAATGGATTATAATTCATTTTTGTTTATTCAATTCAGACAGACTTGTGTCTAGCTATCTCTTGTTAAAGATACAATGTCTTCAAAGATCCTATCAAAGAAACATATTAATTCCATATTCCAATGTCAATAAACTGTGACCGAGCTATATATCTTGCATGTATGTAATTTTGATATTGTTATGCAAATGTCGAAATTAAATAAATACACTTTTAACATGTAAAATGGGCAAAAATTTCAGTCAATAAACCATGACTGAGAAGGCAGGGCAAAATAAAACTCAACAGAAATAAGACATATAACAGATACAACTGCATACCAAATATCATTGACTTTATATCCTAAGTGGTTCTTCTTGAAAACTATTTACTAAGGGGTAGGGTCAAATTATCTCCATGGAAATGGGAAATGTCAAAACTTATACAACTGCATTCCCAAAAATCTTTGACTTACCATTAGAAGGATAGTTTACCTAAACCTGAACTTATCACAAACTTTCATTGTTAACACACACTCAGCCAGAAACTAAATTCCAAAGTCTTCTTCTGCAACTTAATCACAGGCCAGACAAAAACAAATTCTGTCAGTTATACATTCTAACATACTAGTATATTGGATTTGAGTCATATCAATTTCAAGAAATTCTACAGATTATATACACCATCATTTATATGATTGAAGGCATCCAAGACTTGCAACAGCGAAAGAAAAAATATAGCTGTGGAAAAGATTTACTAATACTCTAATAACATATCTAGGACAATTTTTGTTGTGATGAATAGAATTTATTTATGTATAGTGAATGATAAACTATTCTTGACAACACCTTAACTAACTTCAGTGACACAGACAACAGACAAGCAGTATGGAGTCCCACATGATATTAAAAGAGCCTTGCAATTAAATATTATATAGTGAAGAAAAAAGTCAAAACAATCTTTAAATATTCTCAGAGTTATAATTTATAGCTTAAATAGAAACTAAGTGTCCTAAGATTCAAAATGCAAGATTTGACTACTTCAAATACACAACTCCAGAAACGATGAAATCATCAAAATTTCAAAGTACCAGTAGTTAATTGATACAGAACTTTGATAAAAAAAAATCAGTGACCATAACAACCTTGATTTGTTTACAAAAAGCCAAATCCTATAAAAACATTAACTTTTGCTTGCTTAATGTTCAATGTCAAAATCTTCATGCATATTTGCCTAGAAAATAAACTGCCTTTGGAAAGCATGTTCAGTTTGGAAGTCTAAGAATACATGTTCATCATATACACATAATTTATAATTGAACTTTTCATTTCAGGGAAAAATAGAAGAAAACATATATCTCTTACAAATCAGCCCATTGAAGATACCAACCAAGATAAAATTATCTTATGTACCCTCAAAATTAATCCATCCATGGGCAATATTCGTTGGAAACGAAACATACATTTACTGGTAAATAGGAAGAAGATGGTTTTAGAAGATAATTCTCTGATTTAAAAAAAGGGTTTGAAGAATTAACTTGATGCAGACAAAGGAAGAGTATACTGAGCAATCTACTGAAGACATCCAATTAAACGATTCGTTGTAAAAGATTATAGTACTTGTTGTCTTTTCAGAAAAAAGGGAATTACAGTGTCCTGAATTTAACACCTTCATAAAATTGAGATGTTACTTAGTTTTTACATTTGAAAAAAAAACTTAACACACAAAATACACATACACATCTAACAACACATACAATTTTTGGTAATGACAGTTTTCATTGCAGGAACACTACAATTATTCAAAAACCAAAATAATACAAGGCAAATTGAAAACTGTCAAAAATTAAAACTTGTAACAGAACTATACTTCAGTTTTATTTAATGAAAAAAACTGAGCAAAATATAATTTTTTAAGAAAAATCTATAGATTTGTAATCAGAAATTTGATGATTCTAAGACAAATTCAAGAAGGTTAGTCTTAGATTTTATGTACTTTCTATACAAATGTTCACCTACTGTGAATTTATTATAATTTGTTGCATACCAATTTTGGTGGATATCGTGGGTCCAGGTGAACCACAAATTTAAATGTTCAACCAAGTACACATTTTCTATAGGCTTGTATGTAGACTTATGACTTTTGTTAAACCATGAAATCTAATTTCCACAAAAATGCAATTGATCCTGAATCCTGGAAAATTTGTATCCAGGAAAATAAATCAATCTACTGTATTTGGAAAGATTTCATTCTGTAATATTACTTATTGGACTTACAACTTAATCAATTGCGGGTTTCTGTTGAAGGATATCAAAGTTGTTCAATAAGTACCACTCATATTATTTCACCCAAACTAAAATCAATGAAAAAAAAAAAAAAAAAGGAAAAGATTTTTAAAATACAGAAAATTTGCAGAAAGACAATCAGCACAAAGAGTGATTCTCATTGTATATTATTTTTGTTATTATCATTATCATAAATATAAAATGGACCATTCATACATAGTGGTACCAATATTAAAAGAAAATTCAGCAATTTTTCCATTTGTAAAGGGGCATAACTCTAGAACGTTAAAAGTGACACCACCCAAATTCAAACCTGATCTGTGTTTTGTGGTATTAAATAAGCATTGTGTATAAGTTTCATAACATTTTAGGCAAAATAAGTTAGAGAACGGATACTAATTTTGGGACGTACATACATACAGACGGACATACAGACAGACAAGGGTAGCACTTAATGGCTCCTCAGCTGTGGCGGGGGCATAAAAACCTCTAGTTGAAATGATCCATCTTTTTTTTTAAATATACAATTTATTGCAATGCACATAAAAAGAGAGATACATGAATTAACCTGTTAAATGAACATCTTTTGGTGATAGTAAATGTTTCATCTGACTAAGTTGAAGCTGCCAATGCTTTCAAAGTAAATTGATAGGACACAACAATCTGATATTGAGTTCTTTATGTTTTTCTCTTATTAACTGTATATAAAGATAAACTGTTGACAAAGAGATATGTCTCGCCTATCGGCATGAAATTCAGAAAAAGACAATCTGATGGACAGCAACATTGCTTATTAATTCAATCACTGGACCATGATCTAGTGGGCAGGGCCTGAAAATGGTCGACAAACTGAGATGTACAGACAATAATGTAACTTTATAGAAAATATCGTTGTTTATTGTAAGTAGTTCCTATCAATCTAACTTAAGCAGGAAAACTTAACATTGAAAATTGCTAATTAATTCAAAGTCACTGGACCATGACCTAGGGGGCAGGGCATAAAAATACTTGTCAAACTGATATGTACTGATAGTAATGCAACTTCATACAAAATATCAATGATCTATCACAAGTAGTTCCTAGAAAACTTAACAATTGTTGACCTAGGAGCCGGAGCTGGAGCCTTTCGCAGGAAAAGCATCTCGCTTTCCGTGACGTTCGTCGCAGGCGATACAAAAAAACATTTCTGCTACATCATAGACTTTTATATAATTCATGACTAAAATCTCTTTTTTGTTGATCTTTTTGCTGTTGAGTTTCTTACTATCTACTATAGTTTTTTTTTAACCTAAATAAAAATATCATTTAAAGACAATAACTTCTACAGGAAATGGACTTACAATTTTGGCAACATTGTCCTGTTTTTAGATCTTAAATAGGCAAAAACAAAAGCAAAATGGTAAAAATAATCATTTAGGGGAAGAAACTCCTAAGAAGAGACTGACAATTTTGGCCATGCTGTCATAGATCTTGTCTTGCTACTCCTTTTTGCTTCAAAAAGTTTTGTCTTTCTATATCATTTTTCAAAAAAACAAGTAAAAAAAAAGAGGTAAAACTTATCATTTAAGGACAAAAACTCCTATAAAGAGTTGTTTGACAATGTTGATCAAAGTTGACATTATTTAGATCTGAACATATATATATACCCCTCAGATTTTCTCTATATATAAGTTTTCAAAATGAAATTACTGCTATGTTCTATTTTTAGCATTGGTAATCAGACATATTTTTATACCCCAAGGATGATTTCTGACCAAGTTTTGACCTAACTGGCTCAGTATTTTCAGAAAAGAATTTTGTAAAAGTTAATGAAGGATGGATGTCTGCAAGGGATGCCAAGTAATGAGAAAAGCTTACTTGGGCCTTTGGCAAGATGTACTTAAAAGGGAGTATTCTTAGGTCAGGAAGTGGGACACTTAAGGACGAGAAAATTCTGACAATAAAGCATGGGATTCTAAAGAAAGGTTGCTAAATGATATTACAAAATATTTTATGAATTTGGTTTCCAGAAACACAAGAGACATCAATTTCAGGGGAGATAACTTATGCATTGTTGCTGCAAATTATTTTCATTTTATAATAAAAATTCTTAAAAGACATACAGATCTAACAAAACAACTATTTTACCATCATGTGTTAATCAACTTATCACTTCAAAGCTGCATGATTAACTGAGTGTAGTTTTGTTCTATGTAAACGGATTCATGTCTGATAAATAACACTTAGTTACAAATAATTCTACTGGCCAACTTTTATGTCCATAGGGAGGATTTGTCTCTCTCCTTCCCCTTGAAATATCTGTAAAGCTTTCTTTAGGAAGAACACACCCATTCTTCTTTTCTCTTTCATAGACCATGTACTGCTAATTCCATAGTAGTCTCCCCTTTTTTTATTAGTTAACCTGGACAATGCTGAAAATAGAAATATGAGATATATCATTACAAAAGCTAAACAGATTTTGGCAGTTGTGAAGTAACAGGTGAATTATATTTGGAAATTGATGCCTTTAGTTAAAACTTTGGAGACAGATTAAAATAAGCAATGTTGTTTGATTCTGAATCCAATTAATTCTAATGTATCATCTTATATATATTATCATGATTTGAATTATGAATAAATATTGTTTAAACCAAAGTTTTGTTAAGTAAAAATTAAGTAACAAGTGATAACATGTTGAAATGTCTTGCCTGCTTAAGTAATAATAACTGTGTTATATGTATCAAATAATGTATAGTTATAAGTATGTAAGAAACTGACTTAAAATGAAAATACACTTTATGAAATCGGTGCTTCCAAAGTGCTTTGCTGGATTTACCTTCATCAGAAACCCTCAAACCCAACATTGAAAGCCAAGGATGTATAAATACTTTACATTTTAGGACCTTTTTAGGACCAAATAGCCAAATCCACCTTTGATGATCATTTGCATTTTTTTCCTAAAAATTTCTTAGTTCATCAAAGGAACATTGAGAAAGTCATGTTATAGATCATGTCAGTTTCAAGCACTGACTAATGAGGTGATTATGCATGAAAACACAAATTTATTTGTTAGGAGTCAGTCAGTAAACCATTCTGCCTAGAACAGAAACTTCAGATCATAAGCATTCAACACAGATGATTTTTCTCATCCGAAAATAAAATTAGAAAAGGATGTATTTAAAGCCAAAAATTATGTATTATAAAAATGTGTAAATGACAATTCCTTATTACCAATACATGTAGCAGAAATCTGCTTTAAGCAGAATAGCATTATCTCTGCATTTACATAAAAAAAAAGATTGTCTAGGGCTTTAACTTTCAGAAATGTAAAGCGTCATCGTATTTAGTAAACAATATACCAGTCCCTAAGTCTTGCTTTTTGACTCAGTCAAGGTGATACAATATAACTAACATGTCTAAAGGTCTGTTGCATTTTCTAATCCAACTATAACTAATATGCTTCTAGAAGCATTGTGACACAAGTCATGTCAAATATAAAACTTTCAAATCAAACTGTTTTAAGTATTTATTGCATTATCCAGGAATTATTAAAACTTAGATAATCATTCATAATGATTATGTTGTTTAGGGTATGTAAGATTGTGTGTGATACATTGTTAGTGGAGTGTGAGGTCCTCTAGAGAGTACAGTGATAGTACTAATTGAGCTTACCCTTTTGTAATAAAGATTATTATTTTAATTACTTACAAACAGAATCCACCATGCATGCCTCTCTGGTATAGGCCTCTACAGGTATCACATTTTGAAAGCAATGCAATGAAACAACACCTAAGTTATCATTCCATATTTCAAGGATATGCTTCACTTTATCACACACCTAAAACCAAGCAATTATTTATCATTTTTTTAGGAAATATATGCTTCACTGTATCACACCTGAAAAATGCAGTACTATATCAAATAAATTCTTTAACTCTATTCAGTTTATATTTTGTTATATTTCTAATAGTTTAAACTAATAGTTCACTGTGGCAATGACTGAAGAACTATCTAGCAAATATTTATGCAAGATTAATCAAAATGAGTTTTACTTTAACTCAGTGTCAGTTTTTTTATGAGAGAAAAAACATAAGATATCTTCATCTAGTGCTATTATGAAAATGAAGCTGAAAGTTTCTATACATATTGTTATTGTAAAGATTGATTCAAAAAGGTGAGAGGTAGTAATTTTTGAATTGCTAAATAACAATTGGGTTTTCTGTTGTACTCCATGGTCCAGTATGAAAGGTTGATTACACAAAAGAATTAAAGATAAATTCGTCAGATCGATATAATTGGATGAATCTCCAACATGTCTATACACCCTTCTTACATAACAAATATACATTTGAATCTTAATTGTACAAGTAAGGGTGAATCTACCTTAATGGACTAAAAATCTTATCTTCACAACTCTGATGTTTGATTATTTCTTTCATCCGTTAATACTGGTCATTTTTGTTAATCAAGGTAAATGAAGACTTAAAGGTAAAAAAAAAAAACCCAACCAACATTTTATGTCTAGCCATAACCACTTATAAATATTCCTTATAATTCACAGACAACTGAAATGTTAAACACTATACCTGTGGCTTTGGTTTCTCCATGTGTCTAATGGCCTCATATAGATGACAATAAGGTCTGGATCTTTTACCCTTTCCAATATAAAAAATAGAGGCAGCAAAAATCTTGAATGACTCTTTTTCACCTAAAAAAAAGAAATGTAGACAAAGATGAAAACAAGATAGTTAGTCTGTAATATAAAGATCACAGAAACAATTCATTACTTTTAAAAAGAATTTTTTTTAAATAAAATTTAGAATTTATTACATCATTCAAGCAGATGAAATCAGTTTTCTAAATTGGTGGCATTGCTCATAGTGAAGTACTAGAACTGTGAGTTAACTCACAAAAGAATAGCCTCTGCCACGTAAAGCTAGTGATATATTGAAGAAGGTAAATTTGATTGCCTCAACTTTAACATGCTGTCCCTAATGCACATCCTCAGGTAGTGTTCTTCAACTGTGTAAAGTTTTATCAATATCTGTCTAACTACTTAGGAAGAGTAGCACTTAAAAATTATTACCACATATTGAAATAGTGAAGTAATTAATTTCATTTATCTCCCCTTTAACCTTATAAATCAAAATGTAATTGGATATATCTTTTATGTATTTGTAATTGATCACTGTATCCTCTTAAAGATTCAGGCCAGTATTTCATATTACCCAGTATAACCCAGTTAATTGGTTGAAGTCATTTGTTGTTGAACATCTAGCCTTAAAATTAGATTGAATATCTTGAAATTGATGCTAAATCTAATTTGTCATATTGACTCAAATGCTGCTGAACAGTATAGGAATGAATTGTTATGATATAAACCCAGTATGGGAATGAAATGCTATAAAATAAACCAAAACACAAAACTTACACAGATTGGTCATTTAATTTTTATGGATAGATGTATTAGAAATCACGCCACATCTCCTTATTTTTATATACAAGCAGACCCATTTGTGGAAGAGAATAAAAATACTGCAAGTATATCATTACTTTGTTTATATATATATTTTATACTTGCCTAATGCATGCATCCTGTTGGGTAAATTCTTGGTTACTCTTGGGTCAAGAAGTAAATAATTGAAAGAGGACTTTAAAGTTCCTTCTCGCCAACAGCGGTCCGTATTGCAAAAAGAAGAAATCAGTTTTTCTTCTAATGCATTCAGTCCTGTTGGATCCCAATCAATGAAAGCTTGGCATAATTCTGGTGAATAACCTGGAAGGAAAATCTTTATATGATAATGTAATCACATGCAACTTGTTGGCTTTCTTTTATCTGATTCATGTATTGTTTACTGAATTTAAGATTTTTTTCATCCCGTTTTGAAAATACTTTAAACAGTATGCATTTCCTCCAAAGCATTTAAATACATGATAAACTCAGTGTTTTCAATGTAGTGGAGTTTATGATGGATAATTTTGTATTTTTAGTAATCATGTCAGGCCAACTATAGTTTGCTTTGTGTATGGGTTTTGCTCATTGTTGAAGGCCATACAGTGACCCATTGTTGCTAAAATCTACATCATCTGGTTTCTGATAGATAGTTTTCTCATTTAAAATCATACCACATTTTCCTATTTTAATATGATGTTTTTCAGTTGAATAAATTATAGAGTGAGCCATAAACTGAACTAAATCACAATCTTGTATCTAAATAATATAAAATACTCCAGAAATGTTTGCACATCATTCTCAAAAGGAGCAGAAACAATTTTTTGTCATATGTCATGTGAAATTCAAGGAATGCAATTTTTGCTCCTTTTTTTCTTACCAATATCATAAAGTACAATTTAAAGTCAATCTAATCCTATAAATCTGTAAATTCTACATATGATATCCTCAAATACAAACCTGGCTGTTTTGCACACAGCTTCAAATATCCGGGGTCTTCATTCATTTTGCTTAATCTAACAAGATAAAGTTGTCGTGTGTTGTCTGTAATTGGTCCTGGTTTATCTCCTTTTTCGATAAGCTGTTCTCTTATTTGTTGGTTACTTAATTTCGTAACCAGCATAGGCACTTGTGATGATTTAGGATCCTCAGAACATGTAGATGTATCAGAAAAGGCTTTCCAATCATATAAAATTGTCTGTTGTGAATCTACGGTGTTCAAACTACCAAAACTACACACACTGTCCAAGGACTGTCTACCACTACTTCCCTGTAGACTTGGTAGGTGGCGTTCAATAAATTGTATACCCTTCTCTTTGTCGGTATAAATATAATCAATTGTAGAAGCATCACTTATCATACTTGATGTACTATCTAAAGAATTTCGCTGCATACAAAAGCTATTATTGAGTACATCATTATCCCCCGTTGATACTGATGACATCTTAGAGCTTATTGAGGATAATGACTCTTTCAGCCTACACATTAAAAAAGCTTTATCAACTTCTTGGTTGACAACAAAAGTTTTATCATTTTGACATGGTGTGGCTATTTTCTCTGCAAAACTGACCCGTTTCTTTTTACCCACGCTATTTTCTGTAAGTATTGAGTCAAATTCGGCAAAGTCATAATTTACAAACACATCGCTGTTATTATTATCTTCTTTCGTGTTAGTACATTTGTGTCTCTCTATAAAACTGGCATCTGATGACAGAAGAGAATCATTAATTGACAGATGTGATGGCTCCCAAGTCTTTTTTGTCTGTCTAGCAAATCTTTTGTCTAATTCACTACCTTGCCTACTAGTTCTGACCTTTCGTGTACAATGGTTGTTGTTGTTGCCAAGAAAATTCGAATTTTGATAGTTTGATGTTCTGTTTTCTGCTACAGTATTGTTGTATACTGTTGATATAGATTCTTTTGTATCCTTACTGTTAGTTTGTTCAAATATACTAGAGGTGAAGAATTTGTGAGGTTGATTTTGTTCATCACCAGAACAAGTAATAAATGTATCAGATAGAGATGAATTACTTTCAGACAGAGGTATATATGGTAATGTCTGTGTTAGTTTGTCTGCCCATACAACATGTCGTGAAGGCTCCTCTGGACTGGTACATGAAGAAGATTTACAATTAATGATTGGATGATCTGAAAAATAAAAATAACATGTTATTTTGTTATTCCTCTATCATGTAACATGTGTAAATAGACCTATAAAATTTTATTTTAAGCTGACAATTCCATGATATTATTGAATTATGAGTGTTTCACTTGCAAAGATTTCTGGATATGACACTAAGATGACACTCAGATTAGGTTCTGATCTGTACATTCAAAAGAAAGCCGGTTAAAAATGATTTAAAAACAGTTTAGAACAAGAGATTTAAGAGAATTCATGATTCAATCGATCAAGCAAGTCTTAGCAGAAAATTTGACTTCAATGTAGAATTTATATACCTGGAGATGTGACATTTAAACAAACATTACTCCCAACACTATCCTGATGTTTCACTTTGTCTAAATGCTTTTGAAATTCATGCTGGAAGAAGTTCTCCTTTAAAGTAGATTTGTTAAAATCCTGCAGAAACAAGTCCGTTTGATCTAAGTCATATAGCTGTTTTCTATTGTTATTGATGTTACCTTCTGGAAAAGAGCAATTCAAATATCTTAAATTGTGCACAGTAGCTTGTTATGAAAATATAATCATTAAATCTTAATGTTTTGTTTGTATTCAGCATACCTGTGCTTTAAAAACTATCAACCACTTAAAACTGACAGCATTAATGTTGATGGTTGATTCACATATTGTTTTACCTTTTGTCATTCCTGGGCCCTTTATAGATTACTTTAGGGTATGGGTTTTGCTAAATGTTGAATTATGGTGACCAATAGGCCTTGTCTTTTGGTTCAGTGTATGGTTGTCTTGTTGGTAATTATACAACAGCTCCATTTTCTAAATATGTGAATATTGTTATTCAAAAGAAACGCTTGTATTTTAGAAACACTTGCTTTTGAAAAAATATGTGTTTTGTCACATTTTAATGGTTAGAATAAGCAAAATGGTCACTTATAAATATGCAAGTTGAAAATGCGAGATATTCATTGTGTCCATTATGATTACAAACCTAAGTTAAACTTACTGAATTCATAAGTATATTTTGGCATGTTTGACAGTGTGTCTTCATCTGGATTCAGTAATAAACAATAAACTTCAAGGAGTTTTACACAGTCATCATGTTTATACTTGTGTGCAGTCTCAAAAACACTGATCCCTTCCTGAAATAAAAGAATATTTCAGTAATTCATTATATAAAGCAACAGGTATGATACAAGATCTAGAGCTAGTATTTACATGATATTTCAGCCCTGACATTGCAAGAATAGTAAAATTATTCAGTCCCTTCAAAAAATGCAATTTTTTTGGATAAATGAAATTTTAAGATACACTGAGATCAGTTAAGTAAAATATGTCACTTGTGATGTCTCTTTTATGCCATAAACATGTACAAATTGACATATCTTATCTAAAATTTGAATATAAATTTTGGTAATACTTAGCTCTGTCTTACCCTATCTCTTATGTATGGATTTCCACCATTTTGAAGTAGCAGACGTAGAACATCACGATCTCCCCAGCTAGCTGCTACATGCAGGGGTGTTGTTCCATCTGCAGATCTAAAGAAAATATACGTTATATGCCTATGTTCCAACACTGTCTTCCATAGATATGTGGACAAACCATACAGTTATACATTATGTTTGTACAGATGTATATATTACCTGTTCATGTCTGTATTCAGTATATAGTTTGACCACATAAATTACCAGTATACGTCTGATAAGAGATTCAAAAGTTCTGTGGTAAAATTGGACTTAATGTGAATTCAGAATCAAGGATGTAATACTATTTATATGTATCTTTGACAACACAATAATGTAACATCAATAAATACCATTCTTGTAAAAGTTTATTTCAAATATTAACAATAATCAAAATGCAAGTTTCAACTAGAAAACTGACATGTGATGGGCTACAATTGCACATTTTTGTGTGAGGAACAGAAACAAATAATTGACATCAGGAAATAAATAAGGATATGTTCTTTGTCAGTCAAGGGTGTAACTTGAATAAGTTATTAGAGAAAAATAACATACATGTGTTATTACGAATACTTTCTCTTAATCTGTAGTAACATATGTTTGTTATCAGTTAAATGTACCATAAAAAAAATTATTTTCAGTGGGCACTTGGGAATTCTTGAAACTTGCGCAGTAAATTAATACATAACCTTGAAAACTAATTTTCCAATTCAATTAATACATTTTTGATCAACCATGGTAAATCAATGAGACAAGGCTTTTAAGTGATAACTTAGCTGTAATAACAAGGCTTAGTTATTACAGGCATTTAACTTATTACATGAGACACTTGGGAATGACTAGGAAGCTTGCGCAGAACCTCATTACATGCTCTTATTATTTATTACAATAAATTAAAATACATTGTGATATATGTAGGAGAAAAGGCTTTGAAGAGATGTAGAGAAGCTGTAATAACACCCTTTAGTTATTACAGGCATTTTTTCTGTAATAACATGGGTATGTTATGCATGATTGGCAAACTATGGGCTGTTATATCTTTCTAAAGTTTAATATACATAAAGACAATTATAATATCAATAGAACTAGTACACAATTTAACAAAATAAAGGATGTATAATGCCCCTTTGAAACATGTAACATACATATGTTATCACAGATTTTTGTTTTTTTAGCCCTCAATAACAAATGTATGTTATTTTTCTCTAATAACTTATTTAAGTTAGACCCTTGACTGTTTGTAAAAACAAAATTTTAGTTAAAATGAGGACTATGAATATTTCATGTATTTTCGCAGCCATTTGGAAAATGGTGACCAACAGATAATTTTAGACACAGGGAATCAATTTTGAATAGCATAGTGTATCTAAATATCAAAATATATTTAAGTCCAATTACTCTGAAGAACCAAATGTGAAATCTACTCACATAAAAGATCCTCAGATTATCAGTAATAATTTGATAAAGTTTAAAGTAAATTGTTTAAGGCATACTAGATTTATTGACCAACACAAGTTACCATACTGTTAACCATTGGAACAAAATTGCATGTGTTTTCATGCAAAGCATATATACTCTGACTTATATTTCAAGTATTGGAATGCAGGAGGTAGTTGTCTGACAGTTAAAAAAAAGCATTCTTAGGTTACACAGCACTGTCAAGCTGCTGACCAAATATTAAGTCATTCTGTTCAATAGTTCTTTTTAGAAAATATACCTTTTTCTTCAACATGTTGGAAAATTCAAGGTATTGACAAACAGGAATTCAAGGAGCTATAGGAGCCCTCAGATCCAAAAATGTTCATAACCTTACAATTCCACATGGTTAAGATGGTGACCAAATAAGATGCACTTCTGTTAAGAATTACTAGAGAAATGTGTGACAAATTTTAAAAGTTCATTCAACTAATTGAAATATGTAAAGTATTAGCAAACAGGAAGAAGGTGTTTAACAGATCTTAAAATGTTAAAACTCATCACTGCCAGGCAGATGACAAATATGAAGTCCTTCTGTTTAGTGGTGCCTAAGAAACGAGTAACTAAAATATTTGTTGGACCAACATGCAGACAAGGGGATTGCAATTATAGCCCCCACTTTTAGAGTGAGGGTTTATATACATGTATAACTCTGGTATGTCTGTAATGTTAAATACTTATATAGATTGAGTTATTATCATACATGAATTATATGTGGTGACTGGTATACTTTTGTACATGTAGTCCATTTTTTACAAAAAATAATTTTCAATTAAATATGAGAGTCAGATAAAAATAAACACATTTCTTAAACATGTTTAATAATACTTGACATTTCAAAACAATTTGCATAACAATACCTTAAATTTGGATCCCCACCATAAGCCAACAACAGCTTGACTGCTTCCTCTCCCAGTCCTGCTCCTATATGCATGGGAGCCACCCCCTCTACTGCTAGAACTTCATTAGGGTCTGCACCCCTCCTCAACAGTATATCTGCAAGTCTGTAAAGTAGAAAATAGGAATAAAATGAGTACATTTTTTTTATAATCATTAGTGGATCACTGAACCTTGAAAACATAGACTAATTGGTTGTTTGGGGTTCATCCTTCTGATGATTGATCTGTAACTCTTAGAGTTTTATATACTATGAGAACTAAACTAGAGGCTCTAAAGAGCCTGTGTCACTCACCAGGATCTATGTGCATTTCCAATATTAGACTAGAATAAAATTCATGACTAAATGTCTTTTTGTGGATCTTGCATTTCTGATTATTTTTACTGGTTAGTTTCTCTCTAGCTATCTACTTTTTTGTCCAAAATAAAAGAACAGAGTTCCAATGTCCCCCACGTTGCACATATTTTATATTTCCAAGGGGCATAACTCTTTTTAAAAAAGTCGATAGTCCACCATTATAGAAATTGTCCGAGATATTGCTGATATTAACCTATAGTATAAGTTTTATAAAAATCTGGCAAGAATTGTACCCGTGAGAGCGTTAACGAGGCCATTTTCCATAGATTTAATATTTCCAAGGGGCATAACTCTTTAAAAAAAAGTCCCTGTAAGACAGGACGGACGGCCGAACACACGGAAGCCCGTTATTTCCATGTCCCCCGCAACGCGTTACGCAGGGGACAATAAAAGAAATGGTGAAATTCATTATTCAAGGGTAATAACTTCTATAATAAGCAGACTGACAATTTCAGATTTTTTGTACGAACAATCCTTTTTGTTGCTTTAAGTTTCTCTTAAAGTTTATATAGTTTAAAAGGGGTAAAAATTAAGAAATAATCCATGGGGGCTTGAATTAATTCTGATTTTACCATTGGTTGGCCCTTTATACTAAATATTTTACCACGAGCAATAGCGAGGGGTAAAATATCGGCATAAAGGGCAAACCCGTGGTAAAATCAGTATACATTCAAGCCCACATGAATTATTTCTATTCTAATAGGACAAATACAGCAATTCTTTTGGATCGAAGCGCTCTAGGTGAAGGCAAATATTTGCCGTTCCCGTAAATAAACACACTATTATATTGACGTAAAAGAAGGGAGCAAACTGAACTAGTGACATGCTTAAACTATTTACAATAACGTATTTAGATAGGTTTGGATGAATTAAATGATCATCTTATTTATATGTAAAAAAATGGCTTATAACACATTTTATCATCGTTTGTTTATGTTTCCTTGTTTTGATGACTTTCAGTTTCACAATCGTGCATTTTCCCGTAAAATGCTTATATTCTTACGTCATTGTTCAATGACGTCGGGTAGATCATTCATAAGCATACGAAGTGGGAGTATGATCGGAACAGCCCAAACGATATATTCATATTTAACCACAGGTGTGTACTCAAAGCGTTTGAAGAACGTCATATTAGAATCCTCATTTAACCACAATAACTCCAATAAGGAGTTGACTGACAATTTTGGCTATTTTGACCTATTAGAAGATCTTGTCTTGATGATCATTTTTGCAATTTAAAGTTTCTCTTTATCTTATCATGCTTATAGTTTTCATTAACAAACACTAAAATTGGTAAAAATAGACATTACGGGTCAATATTGATAACTCTATCAACTATATCAGCTATGTTAAATTATTTGTAGATCTTGTCTTGCTTATCCCTTTTTCTATTTAATATTTCTCTCTATTCATTGTATTTTTCAAGATAATATGCAAAAATGATAAAAATTGGTAAAAGTCAAAATTTAAGGGCAACAACTCCTATAAGGAGTCGTCTAACAGTTTTGGTGTTGAAAGACAATAGGCAATCTCAACAATATATACAAATATGCCCATTCAGATTTTATATATCTATTAACATGATTAATAGCAGTTACAGCTATACATTGTAGTTATATTATATAGCCAAAGACAATGAAGGATTCTGCGTGTAGGTAAAACTCATTAAACAACACACTAAAAACAGTTTGTGTCTGAACCAGGTCAGGCTATCTTGACCATGTCTTTTTTCGCAGTTGCTTGTTTTTTTATTTTATTTCAAAGGAGACAGATGTTAGTGTGTTTTGTTGAGCTGTCCATTATTTTTGGTGATTTCTGTTTCCATAATTTTTATGTACAAAATAAACAGGGTCTGTGTATTAGCTCAATCAGGCTATATCAAGTTATTTCCCTTTATATTTTTTGATTGAAATTTCAGATTTACACTTATCATTTGGAGCTTTACAGACATAACAAAAAAGTTCTTTTAACATGTCTTAATACAATTTTGTAACAAAATTTTTACTTTTTTCAAAAAATTCCCTAAAAGATCATCATGAACATGATGAAAGTTAAAAATATTCAGCTCATTTCTTTATTATACATACATGTAAAGTTTTCGACTGCACTTCCAAGTATAATTACTTTAATTGAACTAGATGCTCTCAAGAGCCTGTGTCGCACACATGTATCTACTGTGGTTTTGGAAATCATGTAAAATAAGGTTAAAATCATAATAAATAGAATAAGATACCCCACTAATAATTGAGACCAAGTTTGGTTTAATTTGGCCCAGTAGTTAAATTAAAAGCAGGTCATCCCATTGTAGTCTTACAATAGTTACTGAAGACCCCTTATCGTTATTTAAATTAGTTTTCAAGTTAAGACCATTTGAAATTGTTTCTTTACAATTTTCCCATAGACTTCTATAGTCAACCCCTATGTTCTATTTTTAGCCATGGCAGCAATCTTTGTTGATGGGCGGGGTCATCGGATACATTTTTTAAAACTAGATACCCTAAGGATGATTTAGGCCAAGTTTGGTTTAATTTGGTCCAGTAGTTTCAGAGGAGATTTTTGTAAAAGATTACAAAAATTTACGATAAAATTGTGAAAAATTGACTTTAAAGGGCAATAACTCCTTATGGGGATGTAAACAAATGTTACATTTTTTTCTTTTTTTTACATCAAACCAGGGAAGTAGAAGGATATCATGTTTACTGGATGTGGTGTAGACTAAATGAAGACAGCAAACATAAAGTAGAAAAAGTATTTTTGACTTCAAAGTTTCATCTTGTTCATAGCTTTTTAATCTTTGTGGCACTTTTCCCCCATTAAATCAGTCAAATGACAGCATCACATTGACATACATTATGATAATTACTACAGACCTGATATGTACATTTGTACATCAAATTTCGAAGTAGCATTTTATTTCAAAAAAATTAAAGGTCATATGGAGCAGTCAATTATTGTTCAAAAGACATTATTTATTAGCACAAACACAAATATATATTGTAATAATTTATAAAGGCTGAAACCTGAGTAAGCTCAAACTATAAATATACCAAACCTGATGAAATAAGTTAAAAACTTATACCTGATGAGCTTTCAAAGGTTACAGGTGCATGTTTGTATTTTTTTCATCATACTTTTTCAGTAAATCAGGTAAAACATTTGCTGGAAATCTTCTGCATCATTTAGCATGTTTAGATCTCTAAAGAAAATTCCCAAAAGGAACACAAAATCAGATAAGGTTTTATTGACTGCCATGTTGTTGACTGTCGTAGAACATGCTAGTGGTACAATGTACATGTGACCTAAATTTTGGGATTCTGTGTCCACAACAATTGTCTTATTTGGCATTCTGAGAGTGGCCAAATAAAAAAATACTCTGTACACATGATCCCAAAAGGGATTATATGTGACACAATCTATATAAATATATACATGTAGCTATGCTTTTATACAATTTATGATTCCCATACAGCTAAAGAGGTATACGTAAACTTGCAAGTTTAAAGTTTTAATGAGCTAACCTTGGAGGATCGGGTCGATGTTTTTGGGTTCAAACTATTTATACAGACAGTGGTCAAGTTAACAGTGACGTTGTATAAAATGTGTCAAAAATACCGAATTGGTGTGCAGCATTAGATAATAATCAGTATATAGCTGCGGTTCTAATGGACCTTTCAAAGACTTTTGATAGCCCACCACATGAAATTCTGCTTGTAGATAAGCTTTTCATGTATATTTTTTTAGTTCTAGGGCTAAATGTTTGCATGTGTGCTTTATTTTTTATTTGTACTTTATTTTTAGTAATAGTTGTGCTTTAATTTTAGTTATGCTTCAGTTTTAACATGTTTAGATGTGAAGTTTACATGTAGTAGTGCTTTGCATGTATTTCAATATGCCTGTGTTGTACAGTATCTTTGCATTGTAATATATGCTGCTTATATATCTTATTTGCATGCTCTCTGTTTTAATGTTATGTATATGTTATTTTTATTCGGTAAAAAGCTCTCAGGTTTGTACAAATACAAATACAAATATTTTATTGGCACAAACACAATTACAATAATTGGCAAAGGCCCATATTTCAGTACATTATAACAATGAATACAGCATAATAAAATAATATGTTATAATTAAGAAGCTAAAATCTCATTTCTATATACCAGACATTTATGTATATAAGAACTTGTCACTTTCAAGACTTTTAAAGAGTTGCTATTAATGCAACGTTTCATATTTAGCTGACTCTCACTAGAACTTGTAGGAAGTATATTTAATATAATAGTTTTAAAGTTTATTCTGTATTTAGAAAAATTTTCACAATTCAGCAGAAAGTGATTTTCATCTTCTACCTCACCCGATTTACATACATTACAAACTCGTTCATTGGTGGGTAAACCTAAATGTCGCCCTTTTTCTATAGCAAGATTGTGTGCACTCAATCTTATTTTACACAGAGATGACCTTTCTAATTTATTACTTAGAACATCAACATAAGAACTACGCTGATTTGAATTATGAAATTGTTGATAAAATTTTAGTTTGGATGAATTGTAAATTTTTGATGATTGATCCTGCGTGCACTGATCAATCACTCGTTGTTTAATACTTTGTAGATATTGTTTAATAGAAAAGTTTCCCCCAGCTAGGTTTGAAAATCCTAGATTGTTTAAAATAGAATAAAAGTTTCTTTGTCCAGGGGTTATTTTTTTCAGTTGCCAGAAAAATTTTGGATACAAGTGTGTTTTCAGACCTTAAAATATGTTCAAAAAATTTAATAGAAGAAAATGAGATTTTTGACCACAATGGTAGCCTGCCAAGTTCAGCTCTACAAGCAGCATTAATTGCTTTGCAATGAACACCTAGAATTTCTTTTATGAACTTCATATGGAATTTTTCCAAAATGGAATTGTCTCCCGAATTATCAAAAACACCCCAAACCTCACTACAATACAGCAAGATGGGACTTACTAATGAATCAAAATGTATTGTTATGATGTGAACTGAATCAAAATAAAACTTTCATATTCATATTAGAAATAATTTGTGTAAAATAAAACAAAACAAAACTAAAAAAAAAACAAAAACATCTACATTGTACGTAGTCCAAATTATTATGACGTCTTGAACTGTTGAAAGGCTATTGTAAATTTTTTCTGTGACACCTTTGATAATTATTTGGACTACATCAGTCAGGGGACTTATTGAAATAAGTGATTTGTAAATCACTTATTTAAGTAGCAATTTTGAAGTTTTGTCACAAATTGTGATTTTGTAGTTTTACCAAAATTTTAAACACATAGGTTTAGATATTATCTTTTCATTAGTAAAATTGAAAAAAAATGATTTGTTTGCTTCTTTTAAGCAGCAAGGTTTATGCCTTTGATGCAATCATTTAGCTGCAAATTCTATTTTAGTTGAAAAAATGCTATAAAAATGGCTTTACATAATGAACTGATACTTTCTTAACAGATTTTCCCCAGCAGTGGGAGTATTTTTCCTGTAAAATTCAAGGTTTCATCTTATAGATTATGTAATAAAATTCTACTGTTCGCCATCAAAATTTCACTGTTCGGGGGTGTTGAAATTAGTGGGGGTTATTAAAATAATGATACTTAAAGAAGTGATTTTTTGGAAGGAAATTGAGGTATGATACTTAAACAAGTGATTTTTATGTCATTATTCTAGATTTAGTGCAAGGTCAGCACCTGACATGACCCGGTCATCCTATCAACACAGATGTTGGTTCTGATAATTTTAGCAACATAATTAGTCCCTGGATCATTAGTATTCTATATTTAAAGCTACAATAAAATTAAATCACTTAGTCTAGTGATTAATTTGTACTACTTAAATAGGTGATTATTAAAGAAAGACAACTCTTACTTCCAACCTTTATGGACACAATGTTACTTGAATCAGTGATTTAGAAAATCACTCATTTAAGTAAGTCACCTGACTGTACATTGTACCTTTAACTGTCAATCCTGACAAACACTGAACAGTTCTGATGGGTACAAGAAAAAGAGTATACATATATTTTTGGTTTTATCTTAGAAATTACTCTTTTTCTGGATGGAGAGTTGCATTGTCTCATTGGCACTCATACCACATCTTCTTATATCTATATAAACTGTTACTATCTAGGTCATCTTTATATGAGAACTGTTTCCATAATATCGTCACTTGTGTGCTTTACACTTTACTGTAAACATATATATAGTTTAGATTAGAATAAAACTTATAACCAGTCTTATGTATATATAACATAAGTATGATAGGAAATAATAAAGAAAAATAAATAAAGAAAGGGGGGACTCATTTAACTTCTCACAAAAATAAACTGTGATTATCAAAAAGTATTTAAATGTGTATATATAAAATAAGAAGTATTTTGGCTTGAAAATATATGTGTTTACTCTGTATTGTCGCCATTTAAGGCTTCGAAAAGTGCTTTTCCACTTTCTTGTTGTCTTTTGAAAACAATCAAATTTTCCGCCATTTGTCACATGATTAATTATGGGGTTGCACTAATGACAGGACGATTGCCCGGATAGTGACAGGACGATTGACCGGATGAGATATAAATAGTCATAACTTTTTTGTTTTTCGGTAGATTTTTTTAATATTTGTAGACCTTAGAGATATTAAACTATACTTTAAGAAAATAAAACAAAAAAAATGAAAAAAAATATTTTTGAGCAAATAAAGTTGACCGGACGGATTTCACACTCGCCGATACACGCTATACATATATTCAATTGGTCGAAAACAAGTGTTAATATCTTTTTTGTTTTACAATATTTGTCGATGAAATTAAGGAATCTGTGAGAATAATAAATATATAATACGAAAATATAAACTTTATAGTAAACAAAAATGTGTTTCTGCAAAAAAAGTTGAACTAAGAAATCTACGAGATCAATAAATATATGATATGAAAATATAAACTTTATAGTAAAAAACATTGTTTTTCTTCAAAATAAGTTGACCGGACGGAACTAACATTCGACCGATATTTGCTTTAGATATATTGAACTGATCGACACAAGTGTTAATATCTCTTCTTTTTTTTACAATATTTTTAATAAATATATTATATGAAAATATAAACTTTATAGTAAATAGTTTATATTACTATAGAACAAATGGAATTGTATATTTGTTCAAATGGTAAAAATTGCGGCAACAAATTATTAGCCGACCCCTTCGGTCTGCCAGAATTATTCTGCCCCCTGCTCACCAACGGGGAGGTGGAAGTGGGAATTTCGAGCAGGATATACCTTTTATTTCAAAATTACATCGTTATAAGGGTGGTTCATTCACAAAGTTCATATAGGAAACAAAACTTTTAAATACATTCAGCACTATCACAAATAAAATAGCACAAACAAAACATAAAACTGTTTACATTTGAATTCAATAAAACACTTTTAAACTGTTATACACGATGAGATGAACACTATTAATCCAAACACATATTTAATTCAGTTCAACAAAAACAAATTAGACAGTTGAACGGTGTTCATCACAGAGCCAGTCCCCTAAAACATTTGAACAACTCTGGTGAACCCACTTGCTGCAAGTGACACGGCCTCGTTTGCCTTCACATCCAAACATATTTTCCAATATATCAGGCTTACCACAAACACAGCTACATTCAATCTTTCTAGTGTGCATCTTGACTGAATCAGCACAAGAATTAAGTGATTGAGGGAATTTAGAAAAGTATCCCAGTTCAAGGCATTTAATCAAATGGCCTCTCATACTAGTTTGTTCAAAAGCCGTTTTTTGTTTGAAGTTAAATGTACCCCCATTAAAGCAAAATTCAAGCAAATTTGCTATGGAGTAAAGCCCACAATCATAACCATTTGGTTGTTGTTGAACTTCAGGGAGTTTAATTGAAATGTGCTTTTTGCCGTGACCATAAATAGCAGCAAGCTGAATGTCAAGAGATGGCGTAAGAGTGAAAGTCTTACTGAAGCTATCCAGAACATAGATGCACTGGTCATTCACTGATTGAAATGAAGTGACCCAGTGAGATTTGCCAGTATGATGTATTTGTACAGTTGGGCATCCCTTTTCTACAAAGCTACCAAATTTTTCTGACCAAGACTTGGTTTCGTCATCAAAGACAGGTGAAAGTCCTGTTGGCTGAAATCCGGATACGTTCGGAAATTGTCTTGAAATAATTGTGCAACAGGCATTAATAATTTCTGAACATAACCATTCATTATTTTCTAGAATTTGCTTATGGTCTGAATTGAGACCATTAATCCATGCAATTGGGATAGGCTTGTTCATAATAAGTTTTGCTTTCTTTACTGGAGGTGGACTATCAGTAACAAGTATCTGATGATCTTGACTGTCATCATTATCAGCAAACCTCAATCTCTTAGTAGATTTCGGTGTTGACACAGCCTTCTGTTTTGATGGTGTATTTAACTTGGCTGGTGTTTTCGACTTGGCTGATGTCTTTAATTTGGATGGTGTTTTGGGTGTTTTTGGAGACGGAGGTTCCAGGGGACACTCAATTAATTGTGCCTCCTCAGAATCTGGAGCTGGTAGTATCTCTATATCACCATCATTGGGTCTTGGTTTTTTCCTACCAGACTTTTTATCATTTTTCTTTAAGTTTCTCTTCGAAAGCATTCGAAGGTTGACTACTCTAGGTTTCGTTTCTACTGTATCCCCAATATATTGTTTGGCAGCAAGGATGTGGTAGCATTGTGAACTTGCTGGACACTGGCAAGTTTCTTTAGGAAGGAGGGTTACAGCATAAACCTTTCCTTGCATGCCTGTGACCATAAATGCCTTGTGTTGTTCAATAAACGACACTTGGCCATTATCCACAGTCAACTTGGCCAGCGATTTCTGGGACAAGTTTTTATCTGATTTTTGAATGGACATTGTGGAGCTTTCTGTCCCATCTGAAGTATCAGATGCTAATGGCAATATATTTGTCCCCTCTATTTGGGAAGGCGCTGTGAAATTTTCAACAGCAAAGGGAATGGACATGGTTGAGCTTTCCGTCCCATCTGAAGTATCAGATACTAATGGCAATATATTTGTCCCCTCTATTTGGGAAGGCGCTGTGAAATTTTCTTCAGCAATGGGCATAGACATGGTGGAGTTTTCCGTCCCATCTGAAGTATATGATACTAATGGCAATATATTTGCACCCTCTATTTTGGAAGACTCTGTCTCTACTGAGATATGATCTTTCGAGCATGTGTCTCGAACATTATCTATTTCTGACATAACATGCTTTACAATGCCAACTGATTATATAAGGTAATTCAATTAAATGTATTTGATGTCACAGGTGTGAAAACTTTAATGACATGTGATTTGGCTTGATTAGTGATTACTACAAGTGTCAAAATTAGATTAATCTAATTAAATATAAGTACTTCTAGTGTGCCGTGGTGAACTCGCTCAAATCAACATTCAAAGTTTTTACTATAAAGTTTTTATTTTCGTATAATATATTTATTAATCTCACAGATTCATTTATTTCATGGACAGATATTATAGAAAAAAGAAGAGATATTAACACTTGTGTCGATCAGTTCAATATATTTAAAGCATATATCGGCGAATATTAATTCCGTCCGATCAACTTATTTTGCAGAAAACATTTTTTTTTTACTATAAAGATTAAAATTTCGTATAATATATTTATTAATTTCACAGATTCATTTATTTCATGGACAGATATTGTAAAAAAAGAAGAGATATTAACACTTGTGTCGATCAGTTCAATATATTCAAAGTATATATCGGCGAATGTTAGTTCCGTCCGGTCAACTTATTTTGAAGAAAAACAATGTTTTTTACTATAAAGTTTATATTTTCATATCATATATTTATTGATCTCGTAGATTTCTTAGTTTCATGTAATAATATTGTAAAACAAAAAAAATATAAACACTTTTTGTCGATCAGTTCAATATAATCAACGCGTACATCGGCGAATGTCAATACCGTCCGGTCAACTTTTTTTGCAGAAACATATTTTTGTTTACTATAAAGTTTATATTTTCGTATTATATATTTATTATTTTCACAGATTCCTTAATTTCATCGACAAATATTGTAAAACAAAAAAGATATTAACACTTGTTTTCGACCAATTGAATATATGTATAGCGTGTATCGGCGAGTGTGAAATCCGTCCGGTCAACTTTAATTGCTCAAAAATATTTTTTTTCACTTATTTTGTTTTATTTTCATAAAATATAGTTTAATATCTCTAAGGTCTACAAATATAAAAAAAATCTACCGAATAACAAAAAAGTTATGACTATTTATATCTCATCCGGTCAATCGTCCTGTCACTATCCGGGCAATCGTCCTGTCATTAGTGCTTCCCTTAATTATGCCTAAAACATGTCCTTTTTATCTGGCCCACATTTTACTTTTGATATTATTTTTTTAAAATCATTTATAAAAAAATAAAATATATGGAATGACCAAAATAATAGTTCTTATTAATGGGAAATTGAAAAATGGATTTTCCTATACTGAACTACATAAATCTTTCATAATCGATCACAGTCATTTCAGAGATAAGTTGTACTTAATTTGACATGTTTTAGCAGAAGACAAAAATGGGTGGCCAAGAACTTGAAGAAAAACTGATTGCCTTTGTCATTCTTTCAAGCATTTTATGCCTAGGTAACAGTGTTTATTGTAGACATAGATATATGTATATATATTTTGCTTCATCATAAATTAGTGTCAACGGAATTTTCGCCTTTTAAAGTCATTTACAAGTACTTAGTTCAGATCACAGGCACTTGATTCTATGCAGTTGACCTTCCCATGGATAGAAACAAGTGCCTGTGGTTCTGACTTAAAATTATGAATAAAGTCTAGTAGAGAAAGTACTCTCCATGTAACTGTACATTTGTTCCTCTTAATATATGTTCCACATGGAACAAATGGTATGTATATATATATAACAAAAGTTCTTGAGAACTAAAATTATATAATATTTATTCATTCTTCATAAAATAATTACCTTAGGATGACAGGTGTCAACATATATTTGTTCTACATAACAGTAGTTTCGCTGGAAACTTTGTTATAAACATTTCAATAATATCTGTTCCATTATTCTATACCCTTTCTTTTCCACTTGGAACTTTATGAAGGAACTTCTATTACATGACACTGGATAACTTTATTTGTTTTTTGTAATGAAAATTGAAAACATAAACTTCATAAATTACTAAAGAAATTGGCATGAATATTAGTAGAAGCAGATGTAATGACACCATCTACTTTACAGTTTGACAATTTGAATTCGTAAAAATATCGAAAAATGAATTCAATATCAGAAGGCTATATATTTTTTTTCAAAAATCATTAAATGATGTGGTTCCTAATTATTCATATGATAAGAAAAATTTCTCTATGCTGATAATCAAAACTATAATTTAAATTCAGACGATAAAGATCTTAATTATTATCCGATGCCAAAGTCTATTTAAAAAAAAAAAAACAAAAACATTTATTTATACTGGTCTCAAATATGGAAGACTTAGTCTTTATCTTTTGAGATAAAGATTTGCTAGACTCTGGTATCTTTTAAAGAAAACTGTTTTGATTTTTTGTTGTAGAATGTGGGTGACAGTTCAATCTCAGTTATCCAAAATGTAGAACAGTTGACATTTATGTATTATAAAAATAGGGAAATGTTACTGTGTATAAGGCCAAAAATAAAATTTAAATTGTTTGATGTTGCTTACCTACCCTACTAAAAAGCAGCCTACCCGAAAAATTTTAGGACACAAATTGTTTCAAATTTTTTTTTCAAAGATTTTTTCTTGCTCAAAAACGTCATATTCTTGTATAAAACATGATACTTGTGCTGTTGGCCAAGAAAATAATAAAATTCTTACCTACCTACCCAACCTCACATAAAGCATGGGTAGGCAACATCAAAGAATTTTTTAAGGGTGGCCTAAGCATGATAAGAGATATATCCACAAAAATGTTATATGCTGTCATTGCAGCTTCTTTTTCTAAAAGGATGGACAATTTGACCCTGTAGAGTTTTCATACGACCGCAAAAAAACTCCTTGTCGTCGTCGTCAGCGTCGTCCGAAGACATTTGGTTTCCGGACAATAACTATATAGAAATCTATGAAATTTAAATACAAGGTTTATAACCACAAAAGGAAGGTTGGGATTGATTTTGGGGGTTATAGTCCTAACAGTTTAGGAATTAGGGGCTAAAAAGGGGCCCAAAATAAGCATTTTTCTAGTTTCAAGACAATAACTTGTGGAATGGTGTATGGATCTCTCTGAATTTATACCACAAGTTTCCATACCACAAAGGGATGGTTAGGATTGGCTTTGGGGGGTTATGGCTCAAACCGTTTGGGAATTAGGGGCAAAAAAAGGGGAAAAACAAGGGTTTCCTGGATAATGGACAATTAAAAAAAAGTACAATAATGTTTGGATTACCTCCCTTACACTGCTTTTAAATTATGTATAAAGAAATGTTGTATTGTCTTGAGGTGATTAGCTGTCAATTTATTTTTAGAAGTTACTATTTAAAAATGCTGATTAAGGAATATTAATTTTAGCCATGATTTTGTTTGTCATTTTCTATTTTAAGACTTTTATTCTTTTTTTTTTGGGGGGGGGGGGGGTCAATTCGCAACAGTGTATTGCACAAAAGCAAGAAATTGAATATAAATTCAAATCATATAACCAATTCTAAGTTCTTTGACTACAGTTATTCTCTGTCAGAAACCTATTATGTCAAATATTTAATTACAATCCAAATTCAGACCTGTATCAAGTGCGAATATTGTGTCCATTTTTGCCCCAACTGTTCAGGGTTGGACCTCTGCGGTCGTATCCAGCTGCGCTCGGCAAAGCAATTTATTCTGTATTGTCTGTAATGCTGTAATGCTGTCATATGTTTATTTTTAAGGTTATACATTACCAACATTTTGCAATCAAAGAAGTTTTGGTGGTAATTCCTTCGTGTGTGTGTGTAATGCTTCTTACTGTGATTATCCAGAAGGTGTATATAAACGTGGCAAGGGTGTCTACGCACAATACCAGTCTGCAGCTCAGGGAGGACGACTCACACAAATTATTTATTACTTTGAACAGATGGCAGCAATCCAGTCAAATTGTTAGTATTTCCCTTCAACATCAATTGTGAAAAGTATCATAGTTATATTATTTGTAAATTAAATTTATTATGTTATTTAATTTGTTCCTAAGGATATTCCAAAGGCTTTGTCAAATCACAATACCAATTTGCTGAAATGTTTGACCAATTTGTAGTTTGAATTCCTCACTACAAACAGCTCAACTGGTAAAATATTTTAGCTCATTGCTAGTGCAGGTTGTTCATAGGCCTGTGCCACTTTTTAATAAATTGGATAAATATCATTGAATACTATTTCAGCAAAAAAAGTATTTTTATGGCCCCGCCGACTTTGGTCGGGGCCATATAGTTTTACTCTTAGGTAGCAATACACAGTTAAGAGTGGAGTTTCGCATTTTGGCCATGGTGGATTTTTCAAATATGAAAGTTATTGTGCAATAAAATTTATTTTTAGACAGCTGATGACTAATTTAGCCTTTAAACTTGGTTTATAAGAACATCAAGATTATTTTTTACATGTTTTATGGGCTATTTTCTGTGTGACTGTCCGTATTTTCATAGACAGACCGTTCATAGGTCCAGAAATTATTGTAATGTTTACAAACACTTTTTTTTCTCACGACCTTTTTGATGCAATTTACAAAAAAATGAGACGAAAGACATATGATTTTTATTTGATCCCTTGATAGATATATGTAAACAGTTTCAGAAAAGGTATCACTCCAAGGGATTCAAATTCTACTTTTGGACAAATTTTGGGGAAATGTACATGTGACATCTTTACCCCCCTTTTTGCAATATTTTATAGCTATTAAATGCAGATTGTTGCCATGGATACACCAAAAAGAAATTTTATTTAATAACCATTTTAACTACTGGAAATCAAATCTTTGGAAGATACTGATTACATACATATGCACATATATGACACAAACAGTAGGCTTACTTTGTAGGAAAGCAAGGAAAAAGGGATGGTAAAATTTATTAGGGTAAATTTTAATTTTTTTTCTAACTGTATATTGCTACCTTATCCGTCATTCCGTCATTCTGTCATTCCATCATTCTGTCATTCTGTCATTCCAAAAAGAACAGTTATGCAGACTTTTTTTCCCTTCACATATTGAGCTGATTTTTAGTATGTGAGTCTTCTATGATGAGTTACAGATCAAGTTTATGTTTGGTTCAGCTCTGCTGATGTATGTGAGTCTACAATGATGAGGTACAGAAGAAGTTTACTTTTGGTTCTGCTCCGCTGATTTTTGCCAAAATTACAGGCTTTAAACTTTGAAAATTTCCACTCCTAAAAATGGCTTCAAGCTTTTTTTGGGAGCACAGCCATTCATGTCATTTCGACACATCTAGTTTAATTATGAGAGCTAATTATTTCGATAATAATTATATAAATATAGATTCTACCACTGCATCAAGTGTGATATTTGAGACAGTTAATTTTTTAAAATTAAAAATGCAAGGCTTGTCAAGTTTTTAAATATTTAAAATTTAAATGTCGAGAGTGGAGAGATATATAGTATTGCACCAGATAATGAATTTTAAACGATTTGTAGACAAACTTTATCTTTCTTTTTAAATGATCTGAAAAAAGATGTGTACTTTCTATGTGACTTAATCAGACATGGTCACCTTTTTCGTGACGTCACAATAGGTATTTCAGAAGAAAGCAAAAAAAGTTGATTTTTATAATTGAATTTTGACCGATGAAGAACTGAGATCAAACGACCACAAATTGATTATAAAAAAAATTATCAACCGGGTGGTAAAGGTATAAAAAGGGTAAAAATTGGAGAACAGATTTTCCATTATAAGTCAATAAAATATGTACAGAATGGCCTACCTACAAACCCTTATTTTTTATCCTGTAGCAAGATGGTAATAAATCCCTTTATTAAGGTCTGTCTCATTTGTTTGACATCATTTTAATATTATTCTTTTTCTGTCATCAGTCATCAAAATAAACAAGAATGTGACCTATCAGAAGATATTTGGGTTTGGTGGTGCCATGACAGATTCTGCTGGTATCAACATAGCAAGCCTATCTAATCAGACAGGAGACAATATCCTCAAAGCATACTTCTCGAAAGATGGTAAGCAATTAAGATAACAAATTTATCTAATCAGACAGGAGACAGTATCCTCATGGCATTTGTCTCAAAGATGGTGAAGTATTAAATAAGCATAATTTATTTGTGGTATGATGGCCAGGGAGACCACTCCCAACTAGAGACCAAAGGACAGGGATGTCAACTACTATAGGTCACTGTACACCTTCAAAAGGCCTTGAGATGACAAAATGTGAAAAATAGACCTGATTAATACTAAAAAATAGACAAAAAACTATTGTTGCAGATAGCAACCAACAACAACCACTGAATGAGAAGCTCATTACTCTCTTATCACATTGCTGATCATTTGCATCTCTGAGGAAATAAATTAAAAGAATACTTTCAAAATACCAGAAAAAAACTGTTGTATGCCAACTTATGCTGAGAATATTTTGGGAATAGCAGACCATCTGTTATAGAAAACCACTGATCTGCCCCTATCCTCCATGCTCATAAAATAATATTGATCATGTGATTTTACATTACAGGAATTGAGTATAATATAGCCAGAATACCTATGGCCAGTTGTGATTTCTCAACACATCCATACTCTTACAATGATAATAACGATAGTCCACCAGATTACAATCAAACAAAATTTTCATTGGCCAAGGAAGATCTAAAGTACAAGGTATTTCACTTTTCAAAATTCTGAATTATATTTGCTGTACATACTGTATTTCAAATTTAAAGATGAAGCTTCTCTAAATAAATTCTGAAGAATTAATTGCCCAATGAAAATTTTGTAATATTTCTTTCAGTAATTACAAATCAGGTCTTCCTGAAATTTTTGAGTGGATGTAGATCAAATATTTTGTTCTAGAGAGCTAAATTTGCTACAAATTTCTGTAGCATTGCTTCTTCTGTCATGTGACACATATCCCAACAAATTTTCTTCTGCAAGCTTTTATAAACATATCTGTAAAGTGTTATGGCTAACTGATTACGAGGGACTCAAGATTTAGATAACATTATTATCATGATTATTGTATTTAGGTTCCATATCTTAAGAGAGCTAAAGAATTAAGTAACAGGACCTTACTGATATTTGGTAGTCCATGGAGTGCACCAGCTTGGATGAAGACAAATAATAATATGACTGGACAAGGGACCTTGAAAGGTCAACCTGGTGGTTCTTATTATAAATCATGGGCACAATACTTTGTTAAGTAAGTTTATTTTCAATTTAGTAAGAAGTATTTATAAAGGTTTTTGTTACAGTGTATCATTTATAATGCAAAAAATAAATAAAAAGGTTGAATGGTATATAGAGACAGCAGCCTAATTACACAAAAAGAACAAATATATCTAAGAGGTCAACATACAGTCTTAAACAAGTCTCTGTTTAGCTCTGATCTGAATTACACAAGACTAGACAAGTATTGAAATGATTTATCAAAGTCCTTCCATCCATACAAATATTCCCATATAAGGAAAAAAACATATTTAGGTTACTTAACAAAATTGATAATTTGACAAATTAAATGTTAGCTGATTTACTATCTACTAATACCTGAAAAATTAAATAGTGTGCTTTTAAATAGAATTAAAGTAAATCTCTTTTTTGAGAGGAATAATGACTTCAACTTCATACAACTGATATTCTACATTTATATGCTTATGTTTGAAGTTAATAGAAACAGCGTCTAAACCTAGAGTCATTTTGGGACAAAATCAATTGGCTATCCTTTACGCTGGAGTCCCTGTGGCAGTTTTGAATGCCTTACATCAGTCTGCACAATGAAAAAAAAATAAAATCAGAAGAATTGTATGACTGGTTCAAAATAATTTTGTTTGTAACGCCTTTAAGAGTGACAATTCAATCTCAGTTTTCCATCCAAAATGAAGAACATTTAGCTTTCATGATGTGAAAATAAGGAAATGTGGTATGATTGCCAATTAGACAACTATCTGCAAGAGTGAGTGTACTTAAGGTAGCTGGGGTTTCTAAATGTTGGATGATAGATTTTTCTTAAACATCTATAAAAAGACTTCTGAGTCAATGTACTTTCAAATTTCAATGTAAAAGCTGGGAGTCACATTGAAATTAACAAAATCACAGTTATTATATATTGGTTATATAGGGGAAACTTAATTTTTCCTTATTTAGGAAATATTAAACAATAGAATTGGTTAAAATTCAATGAGAGAATTGCTTTTCATAAGTACTTTCGAAATAATATATAAAAATATGGGTCACAGGCCTTATTTTTTGACAAATAAAAAAAACATAAATTGTCTTATCAAATTCAATTTAATTATCTGCCCTCAATTTTAGAGGAATTTTTCAGAAAATTTTAATTTCACTTAAAGAGACTTGATTTTTTGATAGTTTAATCTTTAAATTTCAAGTTTTAGATGTTTCTGTTGTATATTGAATGATACTTAGTAAAATATTTTTACAACATAAAGGGATGCCCAGAAAAAGACACCCTATTTACCTTAACTGTTGTATATGCTTTATTTTAATAACAAAACTGCTAGAATAATATCTAAAAAAGTAAGAGACATTTTAACAAAGTCACACAAATATCCTATTCGATAATTTGTCAAAGAGCTTTCAACAACAGCTTTTAACAAATTATTTGCAAAGAAATGACTAAATGTAATTTATAATTTACATGCAATTGATGTTCAACAGTCAGATTGGCTGGCTCACACCACCAACAGTGCTTTGATTATTGAAAAAAGTACTACAAGGTTATTGTCCATCATAAGAATTTACAAATGTTACAAAATTTTTCTGTTTTCTCTTCTATTTTTAGATTTTTAGATTTTCTCTACTATTTATAGGTTTTTAGATTTTCTCAACTATTTATAGGTTTTTAGATTTTCTCTACTATTTATAGGTTTTTAGATTTTCTCAACTATTTATAGGTTTTTAGATTTTCTCTACTATTTATAGGTTTTTAGATTTTCTCTACTCTTTATAGGTTTTTAGAAGCATATGCAGAACAAGGTCTAAAGTTATGGGGACTAACTGCACAGAATGAACCAACAGATGGTAACATTGCAAATTTCACATTTCAAGCAATGGGCTGGACTCCACAACAACAGAGGGATTTCATTAAGTTAGACCTAGGTCCTGCCTTACACCAGGCTGGGTTCAAAGATGTTAAACTTATGGTACTAGATGATCAGAGACTGTTGCTACCATACTGGGCTGATATTGTAAGACTTTTGTTTAATTTATATTAAATGTCCATAACATGTCTGATTATAGCCATATTTGACATAGTGAATTTCAGTTTCAACACTTTAGGTGAAAACCACAACATACCTCAAACCATCCTCCCCCTAAAAAATCGCAAGATTGATCATGATATGATATCTTTTCCACTGGTTTGTCTATGACATTGTAAATTGACACTCAGCTACACAGCAAGGCTTCCAAAACGGTCATATATGCCGGACATTTGTATAATGTCCGGTAAAAGTCCGGCTGGGCAAAGCATGAAACGGTCATCTACTTTTTAGTTTTCAAGGCTTTAAGAGACGGTCATTTTAACATAATTCGCGATCTTTTTGACCCAACGTTTTGCCTTTAACAGCCACACATTTCCGGTCATAAAAGTGACATGATCATTAAGTACTATCAAAACAACCCCTACTTTAATACCTTCTCATTTTAATCAAGGCTAATTAGTTGTCAAACAGCAGAAATTTACCTGTTCAGGTGACAGGTAAACTATTTTGAACCGGACATTGATCGGTCTATTCAAAGTTATTTTCTTACATTTCAGCGGTTTGCATCTAATTAATTTAGCCAAAAAGATTTAAATTATCAGAAATACATTAACAAATATGATTTGATGAAAAAATTCAAAAGGTGAAAATGAAAAATCGTCATAACCACGTTGTTTGAACCTAGAGACATGTCTCTGTTTGAACTAGTACACGTGTGCACATGTGCGCAGGTGTGAAATTTAATTATGCATCCTAATTTCTTTAAAAAATGCTTAAATTGTCATTGATACCTTTATCTCACGTTTATTTCGAATATTTTCTTGAAGAAATAACGTAGAAAGAGCTACTTCCACTCATTCATGCTTTGCAAACGTACACGGAATTTACGTATCCGTCTCTGGTCCATGTTTTACCATTGTCAAGATAACATCCGGTATAAAAACGAAAGTAAAGTTTTTGACAACGTTATTTTGCACAAATAAAGAGTCTAAGGCAGATATAAGTACGCTGATGTTGCACACTTCGAATGATGCACTGCCAATTTAACAGTTTACGTCAGAACTTCGAATTTGAATCAAAGAAAGTTTAATATCGTTTTTTTTAATGTCAATCATTGGGATGGCCAACTCTGCAACTGATTACCATAATTGCCTTTTGTTCATTTAGTCTTAAGGGATTAAAATCGGGATAATATATAAAATGTCCGGCTGGCTAAAAATAATTTTGGAAGCCCTGCTACACAGCCTTATAAAAAAGTTACTGTGTGATGAACAATCTCATAAAAAGGTATTTTAATGAAAATTTCTGTACAAAAAATAAACAGAAGTGAAGAAATATACTGTACCTTTATTTATATACAAAATTACTTTAATGGATCAGGACAAATTGATTGACATATATATTTTTATACCCCACGCAACGAGTTGCGGAGGGTATAATGTTTTTGACCCGTCCGTCCGTCCGTCCGTCTGTCTGTCTGTCTGTCCGTCCGTCCATCAGCCTGTCAGTCCGTCAGTCCTGTTTCTTGTCATCGCAACTCCTCTCAAACCACACAACAGAATTTCACGAAACCTTTTTAGATAATAAGGACATACTATGTAGTTGTGCATGTCGACAGGAAATTACAATTCAATTCTTTTTCTAGGAGTTACGCTCCTTTGAACTTATTTACTTTAATGTACTACTGCAACAGTTTGTCATCATAACTCCTCAACTCCTGTCAAACCACACAACAGAATTTCATGAAACCTTTTCAGATAATAAGGACATACTACGTAGATGTGCATATCGACAGGAAATTACGATTAAATTTTTTTTCCAGGAGTAACACCCCTTTGAACTTATTTGCCAAATATACTACTGCAACCTTTTGTCATCGCAACTCCTCTCAAACCACACAACAGAATTTCATGAAACCTTTTTAGATAATAAGGACATACTACGTAGATGTGCATATCGACAGGAAATTACGATTCAATTTTTTTTCCAGGAGTTACGCCCCTTTGAACTTATTTGCCCAATATACTACTGCAACCTTTTGTCATCGCAACTCCTCTCAAACCACATACATAATTTCATGAAACTGTGTAGATAATAAGGACATACTATGTAGATGTGCATATTGACAGGAAATTATGATTCAATTTTTTTTTCTGATACAGTTTTTTTTTCTTACACTTATTTTATTTCTCCAATGACAATGTGGGGACGTGGGGTATGTGAGGGGGCTCACTAAGGTTCTTTCATAAATACATAAAGTTTACTCATAAGTATAAATTCATCTCCCACAAAAAAATCATTTAATGGTGAAAACAACTATGCTGTAAACATCAATCACTGGTATTTAAAAGATGATAGTAAGGTATGTTAAAACTAGAACCATTGAACTTTATATCAATAGATAAATATTAACACAAATAATACAAGTTTTTACACATGAAAAAAATGGACCAAACCAATAATTTTTTCATAAGTTTATAATACTTCCCTTTTTGTGTTCTTTTTGAGAAATTAAAGTGATCATCAAAACAATCTGTACAATATCTACCTTTAAGGGTAAGAAAAATATGTCAAAATATTTTGTAAAATAACTGGGAAACTGGGAATGGACTCATTAATATGCTCTGACATGATATTATTCAGTTTTATTATTTCCATCCATCTTTATTTACAAATCAGTATAATTTTCAGGTATTAAATGATCCTGGTGCGAGGCAGTACATATCTGGTGTTGCTGTCCATTGGTATTTAGATGCATTGGCTCCAGTTGCATCATTAGATATCACACATAAAAATAATCCAGACTTCTTTTTATTTGGCACTGAAGCCTGTGCAGAACATATACCTTTGTTACCGATCCCTCCTGTTTTGTTAGGAGATTGGGCACGAGCACAGAGATATGCTCATGATATAATTCAGGTTGGTGAGATTTATTTAAGCAAGGCTTGACAACAATAATACTTTAAGCAAATAATGCTTATCAGCACAATGACATGTAAAATATATATACAAATACAATAAATGATAAATTAATACATAATACATAGGGGAAATTCGCCTAATTGCGGACACTTTTTCAAATCCGGAAGTTTGGATACCGTCGAGGCCAATTGCGAACAAACAGGTGGTTGCATTTGACAGGAGAGGATAGAGGGGTATCAAATGAACTATATCCCGCATTTTCAGGTCTCCTCTCTTGACTGGTAGATTGCAAACTCTTAAAACCCGCGGAAATGCCGAGTCGCGTAAATGCGGACAGGGGGAGTTAAAATACGGACACCTTGTCGTCAAATTGCGGACACTTATTTTTAAACAGTTCTTGCTATTCAAATCGCAGGTATAATGCATATAACATTAGCTCTCATGAATACCCCTCAGGAATACCTTTTCAGTGCACCTTGAAGCATGTTTGAGAATGGTTTTCTCGCATGAACTAGTAATACATGTGGAAAGGTAAGAAAAATAAGATTAAAAAATTTCATTAAATATCTTATACCACACCAATTATTAAATGATATAAGATGTAGAAACTTTTTTGTACTGACAACTTCCATCGGGATATTGTCTTCCAAGATGCATGCATGCATATATAAGAGATATAGTTGTGATAACTTTCAATTTCAAATTGTATGGCATTCATTGCAATGTGTTTTAATGTTCTAATCACTTAAAAATCCGTAGCCTTCACTCAAGAGCATAAGATGCCTTGAGGCGAGATTTTTTTTTTGCATTTCCCGATACTTATAAGATAATTTTATTTATCCTCGGGTTTCTATGTACTCTTTGACAAACACGATTTTTTGCGGCCAATCCAACACCATGAAGATCTAAAAACAGTTTATGGAATGGGTGAAAAGGCTTAATTTTTAAGAATTGGGAAATCAAAAATGGGAAAACGCAAGGTGTGAGGGAACATGCAAATTTTGTAAATTGGAATGTTAAAAAAAAAAATAAAATAAGAATATGGAAAAATGGACATCAAAAATTTTAGGGAATTATGGAAAATTCAGTATTATGTTTAGTTTTATATGTATTGTCTAACATTTGTTGTTTCTAATGTATTGGTCTTTTGTTGGGCAATGTATGACAAATTTATTTGAAAAACCTAGCCCGTAATTATAAATTACACAACAACGAGGTTCGACTGTATGTAATTCATTGACCGCTGCCTACATATGTAACTTCAAAGCATATTGTAGTTTCGATCGATGTCTTTCAAAATTACTGCTTTTTTCTTGTATCCCTGGTGCTTTCGACTGGAGAACCGTCGCACACAAGCATCGCACAAGTTGGTACTCCGAGGCGGGTAGGGATCAAGAAGGTGAACTTTGGTTTATTTTTATCAATAGTACCGCTTAAGTCGACGCTAGGGGCCGTCTTGACCTTGTAGGATATGAATGATTCTTTCATTGTTGAAGACCCTACATCAACTGTCAAGATGAAGAACAGGAATAAAAGCCCTGTTCATTGATAATTTTTTTTCTTTTCTATGTATTGTGTGCGATTTTGTCCCATGTACATAATTTTACTCCATATCCTTTTATTTTCTCTTATGAATACTGACCCATGTCACTCCTCCATGAAGGGTCTTGCTGGCCTAAGTCCAATATCTCGAAAATGAAAAGTAAAAAAAAATGAAAGGGAGCTTCCTCTAATGTTACTAAATGTGCTAAAATTTCTTTTAAAATCTGTCGGAGTAAATTTGAGTTATCCTTCGACATAGAAAGTGTAGACGGACGGATGAATAGACGGGCAGAGTGATTACTATAATAGGGCACCCGCAAAAAGTCGACAGGCCATAATAAAGACGTAGTGCTGGAGATTGTGGTCACGCATAATGATACGCTATTGGAGTTCGTTGCATTTTGTCACATATATACTTTTTTCTATATAATGCCCGTTCTCTGACCAATAATGGCATCGGATTTTATCCGACTGGCGAAAGGATACCAGCGTGTGCAGAACATGCATACATAGTTCTGTGCCTTAGATGAAATGTCCAAAACACAACAGGTTAACGAAAGGAGCAAAGGATGATTAATTATTAACATTCATTCGTCCATGCAGGTAAAAAAAAAAACGTGAGGCATACGTCGTTCACATGAGAAAATTATCGAACCAAATATGGAAGATGCAGGTGATACAGTTTCACCCGAGGAGAAGGATGAGGACGACGAAGAGCTTATCAACTATTAGATAGTTTACATTTGAATTGTTATATGATTACAAAGCTTTTAGTTTATGATTATTTGATAACTAAAGAAAATAAGTTTTTGATTACCAAAGCAAATATTTAATGATTATGTGATTATGTTGGCAAAAATTTGGTGATTATGCGATTACTGGTACCTCCCAATGTGGGGCCTCGTTTGTTTTTCGATTTGTCACAGACGGATGGACAAACAGACAGACAGACGACTGGATGCACAAAGTCGTTACTGTTGGACGCTCACAAAAGTCTAAAGAGGTCTTTAAAACCCATGTATTGGTTACATTATTTCTATCATGTTTTGAAAAGTTTTTATAAAAACATTTCTTTCAAAAGAATATTCGTGATATCAATAATTTCATCTGCCTCTTCCGCAGTAAGAATGTCCAATTCTTTACCTCTTCTACTTGATTTTGTAGCAATAAACACAATGCTGCTGAATTCATTTTCCTTATCACTTTCAATATTTTCGCATATATAGTAGTGTTGATACATATTCATGTTTTGATAAACGTTTAAATTTCATAAATAAATAGCCAATAACATCATCGTCAAATAGCCACTCGTCTACGAGACATTGTTGCAATTTTATTCGGGCAATTGTTTTCTGTACATTTTATTTCATTCCATTTTCTCAGTTCGCAAAAAGTCCTAAACCTGTAGACATTGTGTAAAGAAAGAGAAATAGATTGGCTTGCCATCCTGGGGATGACGTTTTCAGTTTTTGACCTATTGAAGATGTGTGCAAGTTGCCAACTGGAGTGGAAATCAGACTTGTAAACGCATTATGTTCGTAATATGCAAAACGAAAGCAAAACAAATAAACCCAAATCAACACTTTATTGATATAAATGTATCGGATTGAAACTAATGAATGCTAGATTATAAGAGTTTTGTTTATTTCCGTCATCATGGTATTGACATATGCACCACTGCACGTGTTAGTTGTTCAAAATATTTTGTGTCCGCATTTCGGCTATCATATTATTTTCGGTGGTGAAAATGCGGACACTTGCTTATTCCTATTTTGTAATCAAAATTTAGACAAATCAGTAAAAATAATTAAAAGAAATGTTTCCTTGCATAAAGTACGCAATGCCTATTGCTTTTCAACACATAAATTGCCATTCTTACATGAACAAATGTGTATTCAATTTGACACGCTGACTTTGGACCTTTTTCAAAATTTCCTGGTTTTCAAACTTGTTGACATAAGCTATTTATAGCATGCAATTTCAATCACATGACACAAAAGTGAATCGTAAGCAATAGACATGATAACCTTATTGCAACAAAATAGAGATTCAATAGTAAACAAAACACCTTATTTCTTATATCTATTTTATTTCAATTTTTCATAATTTTATTGAAAAGTGAGATATTCGTTTTCCGTCCGCATATCGGCGCTGTCCGCAAATACGCGATTTTCCCCTAACTGATAAATGAAAAAAGATAGATTACAAGTTATAACATTTAGAACGTTTTTTTCCTTTATTCACGTATTCTTGACACTATATGCTTCATCTCATAGAGACATAACTTTGGAATGTTACCAGTATAAATACACATGGATAGCGGCCAAATTGAATTCTGAGGAAGACCCAAATTGAAGGGAGGGGTAATACAAAATTTTAGTATAAGTTTAAACTCTTAGAAGTTCGAGGCATATAAATGTTGAAAATATGCCGCACAGCCCTATGCTTTGACCTTTGGAAAAAAAGTAGTGCATATGAACTTTCCATTCTAGGATATAATTTTTACGAAACTTCATAGTACAAGTGGCACAGTCTTAGCCGTAAAAGGAGTTCCTATGGGAAATTGCATTGTCTATATTTACAGAAGTGCAACCTAGAATGTTTTCACTAAGATAATTCTTCATTTTGAAAAAAATACATTCCCTCTCAAAATTTAAAGGCAACAAAAACCAATTTTAACCATTATTCTTAGGAAAACTAAAGTGTTAGATTTATATTTCATTTTCTCACTAACTTAAAGGGAGATTAATTAATGTGATTTCAAATAATGCAATATCATTTTTTTGAAATTGCAACTTTTTACAAATGCAATGTTTATTCTGTCACTTTGAACATTATTACAACATCACAAAAATATATGAATTTACAGTATTGTGACCAGTATTTAAATTTTTGGCTGTAATTTTTTGAAAATAACTTCCTTTCAAAATTAAATAATTCTGAACAAATAGGAACTTATTTTGTATTAGACAGCAATCTAAAAATGAAAGAGAGACAATCCAACCAAAAAAAGTTCTGAAGGTTACCAAGTGACACTTTGTTGATATGATGGTCAACAGGGATGGTTTGAATCTTAAAGGGTTCAATATGGTGACATGTTGCTTGGTTTTCTTTTTCAAAGGTCTATAGTATTAATGTTTTTGTTGAAAATTACACATCATCAAATTTATGAATTATTTCTATCTTTGTAGTCTTTTGAATTGAAGTGACAGTTATAGAAACTAAATACATTCTTAATGGTTTAGTACACTAAACTTTTACTTGAAGATGTCATATTTAACAAAATATAATATCAATAATCACAGATTTCATGGCTGTGTAGAAAATTGACAAGTAAAAATTACATACACTATGTAAAAAGATGGACACATAAACTATTGATTTATCTCCCTTTGTATACAAAGCTTAATGTTATGAAACTCAATTTTTGATACAGGCCGGTAAACCAATAGTTGTAATGAAAATATGTCTTTACTTCTAGTTCATGTACATGGTTATGATACCTGGTTTTAGCTAGTTTTAATTTGACTATTTAACACACTTCTGAAAAAGCACAATGCTCAGATGGACAAAACAAGCTAGGTTCAGTGTTTTCAATTGAACCTGATGACAATTGATATTTTTTACCACAATTGCTTTCAGTCCTTCATGTACTGGTAACTGCAATATTGCTCTTACAAAATGGCTATTTCTTATTGTTAGACTACTATTTCAAAATGAATCGAAAGCTTGAAATGTGTTCTAAAGATTCACAAAGCTGTTAACCGGTAAAATAAGTGAATGTACAATCAAATATTCAAAAGGCAGATACTATTGTAAATTTGTATATGCTAACTATTTTATGGTTATGTCAAATTCATTACTATGTTCAGGGATTGATATAAGATGGTTTGTCCAAATGACCAAGGGGGCAAGTTCCTTCTCAAGTTTACTTACCCTCAAAGATACTTACTTGCCATTAATGAAATTTACTTGCCTTTATTGAATTTACTTGCCCTTCAAATTGCCTAAATAAATGAAAGTTGTGTTACGCTTGCTCTGTATAAGATAAATCTGCTTGCCAGGCTTAACAGGAGACCCCTACTTTGACCCCTGAACTGTTACTGTTTAAGTACTTTTAAAGAATTCATGCTACAGATTTATTTTGATATATTTACAAGCTGTTTCTGAGATAGTAAATTGAAATTCCTGCTCCAGGTGTCCAAAAGAAAGAGTGTAAGTTTTATAATGAATTAATGTTTTTTTCTTTGTTACAGGATTTGAATCATTGGGTTACAGGATGGACAGATTGGAATATAGCTTTAGATATGAAAGGTGGACCAAACTGGGTGAAGAATTATGTTGACAGTCCAATCATTGTTAATGCTGCCAAAGATGAGTTTTATAAACAACCCATGTTTTATGCAATGGGTCATTTTAGGTTAGTATTTTGAAACAAAAGTTTCAACAAATAACAATCCAATGAAAAACATGTAATTGTGAATGAATGTTTCAGATTATAAAAACAAGCTTTTACATTGGTAAAAAAAACGTTTTAGAATGGCCTTTATTAGTATATGGGATCCAGGCAATGTCTTTTTTTTTTAATTAAGTACACATCAGGTGATGCCTCTAGTGATCATTTGAAATTAAGAATTAAAGTATGTGTTATATATTTGTTCAATACTGGAAAGCAAAGTATTGTCAGTTGTGGACCAAACATTTGTCAGATTCTAACAAATTTGTAAGAACACAAGTTTTAAAGTATATTACTGAGGATTCATTGTTATTCGTGGGATACTAGTTTTCGTGGAATTTGTAGGTATTGGTAAACCAAGAATTTAGATTTTCAACAAAGTACAAATTTCGATATTCAGCGTTTGGCAAAATCACAAATTCAGATATCCACCATTTAGTAGAAGTTATCCTCAATTCATGAACATTGATACCCACGAAAATAAATGAATCTACAGTCCATTTAAAAAATATATAGAGAGAACTCCTGAAAGCATTTGAAATTACATTGGTACAGTCAATTCCACTTAATTGCATACCGCTTAATAGCATAATTCAGTTAAATGAATAGTTTTCTCCTGCACAAAACCATTTTCCATTCATCTAATGTTAAATTGTCCGGTTATATGCATAGCTCTACAAGTGGCCTTTCGGTTTATTGCATAGAAAATAATCGCCATCTAGATATGCTTAGTTAGAACTGACGAGATTTTTGACCGGAAACGGCAATTTGGTGAGTATATTTTTCTTGAATGCATCATTATTTTCGTTATTATTTCATATTTACTTTTGTGTTATTTAAATAAAGTTTTAAAACAGTTTCTTTCGTGTTTATATAATGGAATTTGATTTAAAAATAAACCTCGATGTCTACACAGGTAAAGTTTCCCATGTTCTATTTTAAGCCTCGAGGTCATAAAAATGTAAAACAGGTAATTGTTGTAAAAACACTGACCATTCTATCTCAAAAGGTGTTAATAATTGATTGGATTTCAAACATTGTCCAAAGGTTACATTTGGGGTGAATTTTAAAAACAATAACGCCTGCTAATTATTGATCATTATCCAATGTGAACTCTCGTAATTGGGCTTTGGGTGATCTGCATTTATGTTAAATATTACAGGGTATTTATATATGGTTAAAGAATGTTATACATCAATCATTTATTTTAAATATTTTATGAAAAGAGCATTTACTTCTAATTATTATATTTTCTCACTTTAAACACTCGTGTCCAGCAAATTACCCGTACAGGGCCCCATTACTGCTTTGCATATATGAAACTAACGAGATTAAATGAACAGTGTTACATCACTGTGCAAGCTGTAAATACTGCATATCAAAGGCAGTTCATTACACATCTATTGTTAAAATGATTATAAACTGTTTAGTATTGTTATACAGTTTATTTTAATCAAAGCGTAACAATGTACATTGTACATACCGGTCATAGAAACAAATCTATTTTTAGAACAATTTGTTTTATTTTCGTATCCCAGGTAAAGGAAACGTCGGTACGCAAATAAACTAAAACAAAATGTGTTTATAATCTTTATTGAAAGTATACAAAATAAAAAAAACATGTATGACACTAGACATATAACTTTTATTAGAATAAATCAACATTCAATATGTTGTAAGTGATTATAGACTTTCATCTTTCTTCAGGGAATTCCTTTACTCATCTGTTCTAACGATGTTTTTTGACCCCGTAATTTGGCATTTCGGATATAAGCATACTCTGCTTTATTGCATAATTTTGTCTGACAAATAGGCTATGCAAATAACCGGAATCGACTGTATTCACTTACGGTCCCTGGTTTATACATGTAATGTTAACATTGAGTGCATTGTGGGCTTCAAACATAATTGCTTGTTTTTTTCAGTAAATTTATACCTGAAGGGTCAGTAAGAATAGATGCATCTTGTGGAACATTAGAATGTGTTGCTGTTCAGCGTCCTGATAATGGTATTGTTGTGGTAGTATTAAACAGGTATTGACAATTTTCATAATTTTTAAGTTCTATATGTTGATCTAAGATGTTAACTTTCATGTCCTGTGATTAGTCAGTGGTGTATATGTAAGCATATGTTCATTCCACTGAGTAGAATTTCTGTTGCACTATAGTGTTTTTCTTCTTCACACCAATATATTTATATCTGGGAGATGGAACCTTACTGAAAATCCATCATTGAATTAGTACACAAGTGTATTTTTTCAAAAAGGAAAAAGTTCACTGCTAGAAAAGAAAGAAACCCTGGGGGTTGGGGGGTGGGGGTTACCTACTATGTAATAAGTGGTAGGGATGAGGAGCTGGAATAGGTAACTATTTTGAGCTTCATTATATATAATAAGGGGGAGAAAAATAGAATGAATATATATGATAAGGTTTTTGATGATATCATAAGTATCTGAAACTGAACTGGAGATCATGTATTGACCCCAACCTATTCCATGGTGTAAATATAAAAAAATATTAGGCATGAAGAAAATCTTATGTTACCAGGACTAACCACCTTAAAAGGCACAAATCATACTACAAATTTAGCAATCATACCAATGAAGAATTCATGCACCTTTTCAAATTTAGCCATTGAAAATTGTTTATATTACATTGCTAACTGCAAACCTCATCATTGATTTTAGAAAACTATATGATTGCAGCATTTGATTTGGAAAATGTCTTCCTAGGAGAAGGCATAAACAGTGCAAATAAATATATATGTTGTAATCTGAGCCAGAGTTTAAATCTTTTCATACTTTTTGACCTGATGAATATGTGTGAAATGATATTCAACGATGTAACTATTTATTTTGTTTATTACAGGGATTATAAAGAGGCGATGATGACAATTGCTGATGAAGATAATGGTTATATTAATCAGAAAATTCCTCCATTTTCTATTCAGACATATTTGTATTGGTCTGAATAGACACTTCAATTAGAAAAGTCCCTTGTTTTCAATTCAGACATACAGTCAAACCTGTGATAAAGGTCACCTCTATTAAGTGAAAACCTGTTTGTCAGGTCACCCTCTTCTTCTCCCGCTGTAGTAATACCTATACATTTTGAACCTCAGTTTAAATGTTGCCTCTCTGATAAAGTGAGTTTTGTCTTGTCTCAAGGTTGACCTTTATATGCAGGTTTGATTGTATTCATATTTATTTGAATGAACTGGAAATTAAGAAATTTCTCCATTTTGAATTAGACTTTGGTTTAATATTTCAGAATAAGAAAAATTACATGATTAAAAGAAATATGCAAAAGTATAAAAAAAATCAATTTGTCTATCAAAGGAGGATAATGCTCCAAAATCTAATTGATTTGGGGAATAGAATATAATGAAACAAAGGATAGGTGCAAGGAAGACATAAATTTGGTCCAAAAATTTCAATTACAAAGGCTTTGTAAAGGTGATTCATGAAAACAGATCAAAATCCATCTTTAATAGAAGTTTTCATATAAACGGAATATACATGTGCATGATTGCAAGACCTTTGCTTGATAATATAAGTGAATACTGTTTTCTAGAGCAAAAAATATTTAGAATTTGGTTTTAATAGGACAAGATAAATATTTTGCTCATCTAAATGAAATACAGTAATGTCTTCAGGAATTCTATGTGCCAGAATATGTTAATTTGTATTTTTCAGGGATTGTTACACATTTTGTATAACCTTTATGTAGTTTTACAAAAATTGCTACACTGAAATTTTATAGAATATATGTGTCATGTAAGATGACCTTTTGTGAACAACTTCATTTTGTCAAGGGAAAATCAAAATGTATTGAGATACATGAATTATGTACAATTTTCAGTAAAAGTTAATGAATGTAATGATGTTTATTTCAATGTTCTTTTAAGAATGTTGCTAACTCTGTAGTATTGTAAAATGATTAAAATCATAAAAAGATATCCCACAAGTTTAAGGACACAGGGGACCAATCAAACAATATACGGTTAAATGCCAAAACAACAATCGTAAATCCTATTATATTTTTAGAATCAGTTATTGGCAGTTATGCTTCAAGATAAAATGTAACCTTTTGTGCAATATTTTAGGCATACATGGATATTGATATTCATATTCTTAGACTAAAGTGCAATATTTTATATGTAGAATATATTTTATACGTTAATTTACATGATTTTGATAATTTGTTGCTGTTAATTATAATGATGTTGAATAAAAAACAAAATCAAAAACCTCTTGTCGTACCCTTGTACCTTATCAGCTCAGTAGTCAGTGCTTCAACACTGACATGATTTATAACATACATTTTAAATACTCAATTGATTAAATTATGAAGAAAGTAAGGTTCCAAGTGCCTCGAGCAAAGTTGATCATACAGCTCCTCTAGTATTTATACATACCTGGCTTTCAATTTTTGGTTTTGAGCATTTTTAATGAAGTTAAAACCCGAAAAAGAACTTTGGACACACCAAATTAAAAAGGGATAATCTCAATTTGTAAGATTCTGACGTCAATTGAGTCTTCTGCTGAAGTCAGTGTCTCTTAAATGTTTATTGAGAATTTAGTGTTGGTGTCAGATATTTGTTTTTCTCTGCCAAAGACTATGTTATGATTGGTAATTACCCCACATCTACTTTAAGTTATATAAGAGATGCGTTAAAGTATATAAAAGTATAATATTTATACAACATTTAAGTGGGGCCAGGCAATAACGAATATTACAGACTTAAGCACACCTTTTATCAAGAATGCAATATACACAAAATGCAGACACAAAAATATGACTTGCTAGTTTATTACTCAAAACAGTCAATTTTTAAAAGAAATAACCAAAAGGAGATTTAAAAAAGCTTAATTGATTTATGAATAATCTACATTTTTTTTTAAATTCTAGATTTACTTTAAACATGCTTTTTACATGAAGAAACAATTTTATGCAATGAATAAGCAATTCAGACAAAAGATATGTACATAACTCAAAACTGTTTGAAAAGGATCCTTTTTTGATTCTTTGAAAATTTTTTGTTTGTAATCAAGTATGGCTCATTGCTATGAGAGCTTTGACAGTTTGGAATCATACATATGACTCCTACAAGTGTGATGCTTTCTGAATATTAAAAGTGCCTTTAATTAACGAAGACTGAACTTTTAATTGACTTTTATTCACTGATCATTGTAGTAATGACATAGTTGCCATTGTTTATGGGTTCTGATTATTGAAAAGAGATAGAAGAAACCAAAAGGATAGTCATACTCATGAGCAGAAAAAGAACTAACAATGCCTTGGCAAAAACGAAAAACGACCAAAAGACAAATAGTCCATAAAACGCAACATAGAAAACTAAAGACTGAGCAACAGGAACCCCACCAAAAAACAGGGGGTAATCTTAACATTCCATTTCAGTACACTTAGACATTAGCAGATTAATTTGCATAAGCCTAAAATGATGATCCATTATTAAAAATGAGCATAATTCTCTGATGTTTATCAAAAGCTGTGCAAGCACACAACCTGCATATGTGGAATAATAAATGATTTAGACGAAGTAAATTAATGGTTAAGTATTATGACTGAACACCTTTTAAACTTACAAACACATAATCATAAGGTAGTGTGAAGAAATATGTACGTGTATTTTAAACTATTCCATACTACAGATATACTGAGGACTGAGGATAAACAAATATTAGAAATCTTATACCTGAACCAGGGGTATAAATTAATTGTTGTGTCGTTCATTCGTCTTCAGTTTGTGTGGTCAACGTTCTTACCCCCTGAATGAACTCCAATGGGCCTTTCATTCCGATATCATGACTTGGGATCTCCATTCTTCTAGTTCGTACTTAAAGGAATGAAACACAAATGTATTATTTCTTCTTCAAAGACCAAAATGTTGCTAAAACTTGTTTTACTTCTATGACAAATGTGTTGTCTCAGCAGACAAAGCCCATAAAGATCGGTGGTTTTCCACTGATATGTAAATTTACCAATTGTAAAAAATTTTGACTGAGTATTGATTCACATGTAGGATCGTCCATGCATACGCTTTTTGGTTTTTACCTTGATTTATGCCTGAATGAATTTATCAGATTTGAATAATGGTAATCTACAGTTTTTTCTAATTTGTGTTGAGATCACATTATAAAACTGCTTGATAAGGAAGTTTGGTACTGACAATCCTGTATTCAACCGTACCTACTAAAGAGGAAATCATATCCAATCATAGGTCTGTTCTTTTGGAATTTCAAGCAAAGAGGAAGATCTGGATCGTCTTTTGCTCTTCTGGATATACTCAAATTATATTTATCCTTGCACATAATGTTGTATTGCCGAGTTTGCCAAATTCTCCTCGAAGCCAATTCACATCTTTTATGTCAGCTCTCAATACCGGGCTTCAGAGTTACTGTACAACTTCCTAATCTAGGAATAGTTTGATTTAGATATGAATGCTTTAAGATTCCAACAATCAATTTGAGTACATTATGTAAGCTCCTCTCCTCTTCCAAGAGTATAAACCATTGATATTAATTTACCCTACAAACATTTTCTTGATTCGTACTTAAGATACGGGAGCACCTGCGTTCACTCTCTGTTTTCGATGGGATTCGTGTTGCTTATTGAAGTTTTCTTTGTAATGTTTTTAAGGCGTTGCTTTTCTATTCGTCTATCTTGTTTTACCATCGAGTTGTCTGTCTTTCTTTGATTTATGGTTTAGCATGTCACTTTGTATCTTCTCAATTTAGCGATGGATAACCGTAGTTATCTTCTTGTCTACTTTACCCTGTGTTCACACAAGACAAACTCTTAAAAACACGTAGCGATATTCTGATTTTATAACCTCATGTCCGACATAAAGGTTGTTTTCTTTGACTGAATAATTAAAAGTTTAGTAAATATGGTTGAGTTTTAAAAAACAAGGATACGCATTATAGAGCTCGGTTTTCTTAGTATCATGATTCACGACAGGGCAAAGAGCCCTTTGTCAACTTTTCATTTCTATGTAGAACTATCCAGCAACTTCTGCATTCAAAGTATTTATCTCCCAGTTGAAATAAAAATGTGAAAATAGGATTAAAACAATGAGAAAGCCATTATTTCACAAATTGAAGAGGAGTTTGAATAGAGTACAACATTTCAAATCCCTTATATGATTCGTGTATTAAACACAATAACTCCTGTCACCCCTTCGCATATTAATGTTAAACACAATGGTCCGAGGTCATCCACTTTGTCTAGGATAAGTACATATAATACTTGTGGAACGACATGAGTCATATGGGAGGAGTTTCACAACGGTAAACAAGAATGCAAATTCTTCTATAATGATAAACATAGGGGCATTCTCTCAGGACATTGTGTTATACTAATCCAATTCAACAAATGGAAATATTGTTTTCGACACTTATCGGAAAAGCAGCACTTTTTACAAAGGAGACTGGCCTAAGGTTTTTGTGTTTTATACAATGTCATGAATCGTATTAGGTATTTATTATTTTATACTAATTTTAGACTATTACTTTTCAACTTTTTTTCGAAATCCTTTTCCCACTCCCCTAACAACGATTGTTGCAGTTTTTCATAATCATCTATATATTTTTATCAAACCGTTATCACGCCATTCTGTGTATTAAGATCTCTTGAATATTTGTGGCTATAAAACGATAGTAGTATTGTCATGCGTATTTCGTCCAAAAAACATGACATATGACGTAAATTTTTCGGTGATAATACTAGTATCATGGGATCATGGATGGCGTGCACTTCTGACATGAGGTCCGTCCATTCTTTCGGGTCGTTTTGAGAATGTGCTTTCCGCATAACCGACTCTCTATGTCACTTTCTAGATATGACAAACCGTTCTGTTTTTGCAGTATCATTTATTTCAGTTCAATGACATGGATGCGATCAACACAGACAGCAATCTTTGAATTATTCTAGGACATCACAAGAGTTGTGGAGTGTGAATTAAAGGGTAAATCAGGCGTTTTTTCATAAGTTTTGAAGTCTGTCTCAATGAATGAACTATTTCCAATTGCGAACCATACAAAGACATTGAGAAATGAGTGCATGACGTAGTTAGTTTAATTGAAAGGAGATGTAGGGTGGTCAATGAAACAGCAATCACACAAAGCAAAATAAAGATTTTTAATTTCTAAAGAGAAATGGTAATACTCACGCTTTGCTAGAGTATCTTACGCTACATTTATACTGTATGTAAAATATTATCAGGTACTAATACTTAAAATTTAAATCCTTTTATTGGAATACAAGTAGAGATAGGTGTCATCCCGAAAGATCAACGATTGGACAAAGAGGCATTATTATATTTCAGATACTATGAGAAAACACATTTTGAAACAGAATGAATGTGTAAACACAGAACAATCGTAATCAATGAATTTAACAAGATCTGTATTTAGTTGACATTAATTCAGTTTTATTGGTTTTGCCGTATAAAAAAATAAAAATAATTGGCAATTAAGAAGAAATAAGTGACTTTATTCCGTTCGTTGAAATGCCTGCACGGCATTTCCCGATTCGTATTTGTCTAAATTTCTATGAGTAACCGAAAGTCAATTGACATGAAGTACTTAACAATAAGTGCATACAAACGTTGATAAAACCTTTATGTTCAGCTTGAGGATATGTTTTACATCAACCTCACGTATTTTTCAGACGATAGAAAGGCGAACATTTAATTACGCGACCAAAACCAGTCGAAATAATTGTTTGGTTTATAGAAAATGGCTAATAATTTGATTCAGTATAACTAGTCGTCACTTAAGTTTGCTCTAAACACCAAATCGGATTGATCATCCAATCTATATAAAAAAAATAAGTAACACGTATAACAGGGGGAAATTAAACCTACACTGATTGTTGTGGAAACTTTCGTAAAAAGAAATCACAACTTTTACATTAACTAACAATACATCTTGAAATTATACGAATTATACAAATTCAATTTAAAGTCCATTCTTGTAAATGATTCATGAATACTACTATAACATTCTTACACATTATTTATGCCAATGAGACTACTTTCTACCAGAAACCAAATGACGTAGAAGTTAACAAGTATGGGTCACCGTAAGGCCTTCAACAATGAGCAAACCCATACCGCATAGTTAGCTATAAAAGGTCAAGAAAAAACAAATGTAATACAATTCAAACGAGAAAACTAACGGCCTGATTTATGTACAAAACTAAAAACGAAAAACAAAT